CGAAACCGAGCACCAAACCCAGCCTGACCGCTGAAAAAAACCAACGCAAACAATATTAATCTCAAAAACAACATCCAATTTCCAACACTGTCGGCTGCACCCACACCCAGTGCAAATAATATTCGCCCTGGAGTTTCTTTCTCCGCTGCCCTTACGGGTATGCAACAGACTGCACCCCAAATTATTCCAAATTTATCGGTCCCCTTAGGAGCTAATTCGACGCTAAATTGCACCGAAATCCTTTTGGCAATTATTCAAATTTCAAACCAGCCTGGTATTGACCAGAGCAGACTTCTTTTGGCATTCAAAAACGCCTTACCGCAGCTCAGAGTGGCTCCATCTGGTGCGGCTGACGCGGCATACTACATCTTTGAGAGTTATATACTCTCCAATTCTCTGATATCCCCAGTCAGTAAAATTCAATACTTTGAAAGGATTGAAAAACTTAAAACTATGCACCTGGAATGCAAATGGCATCCTATCCAAATTCCATGAGTTTAGAGACTATGTAGAAGAGAAAGATTTTGATATTATTTTTGTCCAAGAGACCAAACTCCAGCCAGGGAGAGCTCCCAAGCTTGCAAATTATGCATTATATAAAAATGACAGACAAGCTTCTAATACTCGTGATGTTTATCATGGTGGCACTTGTGTCTATATTAAAAATTCAATACCTCACAAAAGAATTGACACTCCGAGTATGAGTAAACTCGAGGCAACAATCATCGAAATTTTCATTCAAAATTCGCCCTCCCTTGTAATGATCTCTGCCTATCTTCCACCAGGTGGAAATTTACCTGTGGTAGATTTTAACAAATTGCTCACCTTATCCAATAATCTAATCATAGCTGGTGATTTAAATTGTCACCATCAGCATTGGCGTTGTCACAGATCAAACCCTGCTGGTCGTGGCCTTCTAAAATGGGCTCAGTGCGCCCAAATTAAAATTATTGCGCCGGATTCCCCCACTAGATATGGTTCACGGGGTGCCCCTTCATTCATTGATTTAGCACTCTTTCGAAATATCCCTTTTGGATACCACGTGACTGTTGAAAACTGTTTATCTTCAGATCACAACCCCGTGATCATAGACCTTAACTGTACTATTTTTAATCAAAATTCTCCGGCACTCGTCTCTACAAACTGGGACAATTTTTGTTTCAAACTTAAAAGTAAAAATTTGCCCTCCCTTGAAATTAAATCCAGCCATGATATAGACTCGGCAGTTGATCAATTAACGACCATCTTAACAGATACTTATAAGGAAGTATCAAAACCCACCCTCAGACCCAATTTTCGTAAATTACCTCAAGAAATTAAACTCAAAATTAAAGAAAAGAATAAAGTACGGAGACTTTGGCAAAGATATAGGAATCCTGATTTAAAAATTCAACTCCGTACTCTCCAAAATGAGGTCAAGGCATCATGTGACCATTTCTTCCAATCACAATACACAAATTACATTCAGTCCTTAACGACCAATGATAACAGTCTTTGGCGCGCATCTGCCCGCCTACGCAAACACAAATCTCACATTCCGTCCTTAGCTACGGACGCAGTGGTGGCTCACACAGACGCTGAGAAATCCGAACTAATTGCGGATTCTCTTCAAACACAATTTACACCACATAATGAAGGAATTTTTGCGAATGACGCAAATTCTTTCCCACAAGATGTTGAACGCTTTCTTTCCTCTCCTTTTGCGAGAGAAATTCAGTACACTTCCATGAGTGAGGTAAATGAATATATTACCAAGCTCAAACCCAAAAAAGCCCCTGGTATGGACTCTATTTCTAATCGTATGATTAAAAATTTACCCACCAGTTATCTATTTTTCCTAGTAATGCTAATTAATTTTATGATACAGCATTGCTATTTTCCTCAAAGCTGGAAACAAGCACTCATTGTGCCTATTCCAAAACCAGGCCAAAGCCTCTCAAATCCTCAAAATTATAGACCTATCAGCCTCCTATCTTCGTTAAAATGCATTCTGTGAAAAAATTAGGAAATAAATGATCGCAACTGTTGGAGTACCTTTTACATTGGCCCGACTCTTCCAGAAAAAAAAAAATGCTAGATTTTGATGCTGTACCTGTCACGCTAGAGTTGCAGGGAGAAGTTTTTAACAGACTGCAGAAGGCTGCAGTTAAAATTTCGATAGCAGAAGCCCACCGAAATTCTCCAGGAGCTCGTAACTGATATCGAAATGCTCTCCCATCTGTCCTTTTTCGACTGAAATACGTAGGTACAATCCATGAAATACTTCCTCGGTGGCATACGGGAACCTGAGGTACAGAACAGAAACACTTGCGGATGGTGGATCTGAAGGGTTTAAGAAATGTCTAGAGTGTGCGCCATGAAATATGTGGCAGTCCATTCAGCGACTTGTATACACTATTGCCCAATCGGAACTGCTCCATCCGAGAAGCTAGTGGACCAGCTCGTCTGGACAATTTACCCACTTAAGTAAGTGCCTTGAGGCGGAATAGGTGTCAGACCAAATAATGATTTCCTCGAATAATCATTTCAAATAATTAATGTCGTTATATAAATTTCCATATACTCGCTGATGTATAAAAAATTGTACCCAAATCCTATTCTGAAGAATCGAATATCTGTTACAGTTTATCTTATGATGATTATTTACAGAAACTATTCTTAAATTTGTTTGAACTACGGAAAACTAATGAAGTCATTGAAAACTCGTGTAACAGTAAATAAATGAATACTTCAAATACAATAGAAGCTTGAAACCTAGGGAAAAGGTATTTGTTCCTATGTAACATCGACTCGCCCCGAACAGAGGGAATTAAGAGTTTAGAATGAGGTACACCCGGATTCCAAAAATTAATGATAAACATTTCGACCATTATTTTGTTCCTACGACCTATAATTAGCCGAGATATTAATTAAAACCTCTGAAAACGCTGATTTTCGCAATCATTTTTCCGAGTGTACGACGTCTGGCGTGCTGCAGATAAAAATGTTTTATTTGGAAAAATGTTGTTCCTGCTCGTTTTCAAATCGTAGATTTTGTTCATCATAAATTTGTAAGTTTTAAAAAATATGAAATAAAAGTAACATTGCCAAACATGAAAGATATTAGTATTATTTGTGGTGATATTCTGAAGTTGAAGAAAGCACGTGATGTCATTATGGAAAATGTTTCGCTAATGTCAGTATTTTGAATAAATAGCTACTGTTGGCAACTTTTGTTTCAAGTTAGGATTATTGACAGGATATGCTATCGCCACGTTAATTTTTTTTTTTTTTTTTTTTTTTATTGATGTACTAGCAGCTCCGCTGCCAGCCTTTGTCTGGCTTTTAAATGTACCGGCTGAAATGGCTGAAGGGAACATCAAACGCTAAATTTAAAAACCTGCGTAGAATTTTACTCTGCAGAACAACTTCATAAAAAAAGTTATTACGTATAACAAAATTACAATGAAATAAGCAATATCCCTTAATACAAATATTAATTATCCTAATAAATAAATTAACCAACTTCCCTTTGCAAAATCTTAAGAACTCAAAAGGTATAAAGGAGGTTAAGAACTTTGTTTCCTAAAAAAACATCACTCAAAACTTTTCAATATCTTAAAAGCAGTTGAATGAGCAATATATAACATAAAAGAATACGAAAAGCAAAAAAATTCTGAAAAGTAAAGTATAATTAATGATATTTTATCTTATATTTTCAAGAGAAAAAAAATTACAATGAAATAAGCTATATCCCTTAATACAAATATTAATTATACTAATAAAAAAATTAACCAACTTTCCGTTGAAGAAAAAAAATCATGCAAAACTTTTTAATATCTTACAAAAGCAAAAAATAACATGAAAGAAACTCAAAAACAAAAAAATTCCGCGCACAATTTTACTCTGCAGAACAACTTTATAAAAAAAATCAATAAAATGTATTATATATATATATATATATAAATGACAATGAAATATGCCAATCTCTTAAAAACAGTGACATAAGAAATACGATGAAAAATTGTTGCCAAACCCATATTTCTAAAAGAATGAAACTATTCAAAATGATGCGATTTCATCAAGAATCTATCAACAACAATAAGACAGGAAAATTGTCGCCAAAATCACATTTTTAAAGATGTGAGATGTGAGAAGTGTACTCGGAAGCTTCATTTAAAAATTAAAGCTTACTGTACTTTTTTTTTTAGTCCAAAGGGGCAATTTGACCAGAAGGTGATTTCGTTTTGGCATTTTGCGTCGATTCACGATAAGCGTTGTTTCACTTTTGAAATTGCTGCCACCAAATAGTATCGCCCTCTATTTAAAGAAATTAAATAATGAAGAATCTGCATGAATGTATATATATTTCTCGCACTGTGATAAAACAACGGTACCTAGAGCTATCAAAATTTTAATAACGTAATCTTCCACAAAATATGGGCATGTGGAAGCCCTAATTTGAATTTGAAATTTGTTTTATTATCGAATTCATATTTTCTAACACTTCAACGAATTTTTGATTAACAAACTCGACGATTTCAGAGCAAGCAATGGCAACAAAAAGAAACATTTTTATCTCCAGGGCTCGAGACCCTGTATCAGAAATTTTAAAGATCTGCTCATTTTAAAATTATTTTGCAATATTGCTCTTGAACTGAATTTTATGATTCAAGTGCCAAGAACATGATATTTAGTAATAAATAAAAGTAATACACAAAACGTTAAAAAAACTCCTCTTTGGACATAATTTAAAATCTGAAACTTTTCAGAGTTTTATTTTAATTGTATTTTATTTTAAAATCTGAAATTTCAACGTATGAAAGCCTGCGTGACTGCTTTTTATAATTAGACAGTTAATTTTACAAAATAATGACTAAAAATTTTATTTAGGTTCATAAAAAATGCTTTGCATGTCCTTTACATAAGCTACAAACAAACATAATAAGTGTAGTAAGGTATGTTCACTGCAAACAGAATTCAAAAATTTGCTTCTGCGGGAAAAATAAATAAAAAAGAGCTTATCAAAAAAATGTTTTATCGTCTATGTCTAACAAATACGAATCATATTTATTTACATTATTCGAAAACAAGATACAAATTCATTGATACTCATTTTACAACTTGTTAACATCAACTTTATATAGATGAATAAAAAAGTTTTTGAAGTAATTTATGTGTGCGTATTGTGTACATTTATGTAAGTATGTTTTCTTGATTTCTATTTGAGGTATTCTTCATCTTCAGCATTCGATGAAACCATTGCCTTTTGGTTCGCCAACGGAATGTCGATAAATTGTTTAGGTAGCTTTCATTTGGCGAGTATTTTGTTCTCCATTAAAACAATAAAAGTATTGCCAAATGTTAATGAGACTTAACAGGTTTCCTCCTGATTTCCATCGCCAAATATTAATTTGATTGGATGAACTCACAGGTACAATGGTGCATCTTTCGATGCAAAGTTCTTCCAAATGACTGTATGGTGTCTGAAACACTTAAAGTGCCGAATTCACGGATTCCAGCCAATCCACTAAGTGCTGGTAGTTCGTTTCCATCCATTTTACATTCGCTTCTGCGCTTTCAAGGGATTGTTCAAATGCTCTCTTTGCAGCACCGAGGTTGTTCTGTTTTTGCTTGTAAAAGTCTTTCAACTGGAAAGAAAAAACATCAAAATACTTTAAAAATGAGTTAAAGTTTTAAATACAAAGCGCTTTAGAAAGAATGTACAAATAAATCTTTTTAAAAATGATTAGTAGACCGATGATTTCAGTTAAGAAATGTGTCAAGTAATGCAAGTTTGCTATGGGCTCAATTTTGGTCACCTGATACATTTTAGTAAAAACATAAGAAAATTACAATGTATTCATGAATTATTACGTTTTATAAAAGAAAATTTCAATTCTTTTTTCCTATTCAAGATATTTTTAAGTTTTAAGGAAGAGAGAAAAATCAGTTTATTTCTGTCTCTAATTAAACAACGAAGAATCTGTATATATGTAATAATTTTTGTTGGTACACTCTGCACAAAAAAGGGGGGGAAGGTCTATTTCCTCCGTTCATCCGGGTCGATTGATGGAGTTTAACCTGCGTTTGTCATGTCTCGAATGTGTGACTTAAGATATATATTAGATTTATATATAAGCATAATTATTTTGAGACTAAATCGGAATTCTTCGGAAATGACATACCGATTTTTTTTATTATTGATTTCCATTCTACGGCTCAAGTAATGCCTAATTAAAATTTGTAAACTTTGGTGAGAATCTTACCGAGTAATTTTTAAAAAATTATCTTGGCGCTCTTTTTTCAGTTTGCGCCAAGAGTATTAACTCACTGGGTGAAAATTCTTAATTTATGGTAACCTGTTTTCCTTCCCTTTAATTGTCCACGAACGGAAAAAAAAAAAAAAAAAAAAAAAAAAAAAAAAAAGGTGAAATATACATTCTTTCAAATAATTTTAACGAAGTGCGTAAACCACATTTGGCATTATTATCACTTATAACAGATGTGCCAAATTTAAAAAAATTCGCCAACATATATAAATTCACGTATATATTTCGAAATTTTGAATAAGAAATTCTAAATTTTTGCAAGTATGCCTAGAAATACATTTACTCTAAGGTGATGGTAAAAATTTTACAGGTTGTTATTCAAAAAGTGTTTCGAAAAATTTATAAAAATTACTAAAAAATACAAATTTAAAAAGATAAATCAGAAAACATATGCGAATTTTAGTTGGATTGAACCAAAATTCCGAACTGTGAAAGAAAAAAATCATGTAAGTTTAATAAAAAAAAAGAAAGATTAATAAATGCAAAGGGTGTTTGTTCACACAATTTTTTACCGATTTACATATAAACAAAGATTAGAATTTTACTTTCTAATATTGTTATGGAATGTCCAACCGCGGTAAGATAGCTTCCCCGCAAAACAGGTTTAGTGTTGCCAGAAAAGGGCAAGGGAAAGCAGGGTTGCCACGTTCGGCGAGAAATCGTCCATTTGGCGACAAAGATGGATGGAGAACCTTCTGGAACGAATTCTTACTGGTTTAACCCAGATTGTTTTCGAACACAAGCCAAAAGCTATATAAACGATACTGGTACGCGGAGAGTCAATCTGTGCGAAGTGCCTTAGCAAAAGGTATAGGTTGTGCTTGTTCAACATAAGAAATAATTTGAATAATTAATTTTGAAATTGTTCCATTCTTTTATGTGCATCCTGCATTCGTATAGAACGTTATCTCCAAATTAGCGAATAAGAATTGTCAACTCCGTACCGTATGGAAGTCAACTCCGTACCGTATGGAACCCTCCGAAAACTGTCATCTCCGAAATCATATGAAAACATGAATAGTCACAGTGTAGAGGGTACACTGTATAGCATCATTTGAAAATAAAAGTACATTCGTGAAAATTAATGAAGATTAGTAAAATTTGTCAGTAACTTCCGTAAAAATGTAAATTCAACAGTTATATTCATGCAATAGAATGAAAGCAAAATTAGTTTCAAAAAAGAATTTTAAAATACACGAAGGGGACTCATAAACGCGCAAAGTAATTTGAATTAAAATATCATAGCGAGTTGAGAGTCAGTGCGGAAGTACTTCGAGTTGACAATTGAGTCAGTGAGCGAGTGTTTCGAATTCTAGTACCGAGTTGGTCGTCGAGTGCATCGAGAAAGTCTCTCAGTGTATCGCGAGTTAGTGCATCGTCGAGTTTCATCTTAGAGTGTGTTGAGCTCCAGGAACGACTGAACCGAGTCGGGAGTTGTACTCTAGTATATCGTCGAGTGCGTCGCCAGTTGTAGCGTGGAGAGCCTCGAGAGTGCGTGGAGTTCGACCGAGTAGAGTCGGGAGCTGTACTCTGGTTCTTTGCCGAGAAGCTGTTTCCACCGTTATAGCCTAGTAGCCCGGAGGCTGTGTCGCTGATTTTTTTCAGCGTGTTTATAGTAGTTTTTCGACGACTGTAAACGTGTTATTGGAGCTGTCTTGAATAATACTGTCTAATAAATTGTGTTTCCATTCTGCATTCAGTGCTGTTCTCATTATTCACTCCCAATCCACGAACCCATACCGTAAAGAACGTAAAGGAAGAAAAACGTAACCATATGTTGAATATGATAGCTCTTTTGTTGAACTATCATATTACATCTTAATTAAAAAGATAAAAGTCCTTTTCTTAACACGTCAAGGTTGATTTTATTCCACTCGTATAGAACGTTATCTCCAATCTTCACACACTTTCTTTCAGAGTCCATCCAATGTTTCAGAGTCCACAATCTTCACAATCTTTCAGAGTCCATCCAATGTTGAAGAATACCGCTTATAAAGAGCTCGTTTTGAAAGTCCAAATGCCCAGTAATCCATAGTTGGATGTGGGTTGGTCCAATGTGGGTTGGATGCATTTAAAGGGAATAGCTTCAATTCCGGTTTCATTTCTCATTTTTTTCAAAAAACAGAGCAGTAGATTTAGACGTGTGGCTTGGAGAATTACCCTGATGGAACTTACACCGTGGTTTGGCTTGGTTTGGTTTATGAAATTACGGCAAAGCCTCTACAGCTATCTGCCTAAGGGGAAGGGATGCCTTCATGGAAGACTTTCTAAGGGGATGGCTCGTATACACGTTACACATAGGGAAAACCGCGAAAACGCCCACGCAGCGCGTGATTCGAATCTCGGGCCGAACTACAATGTTCAGCGACAGGAGCTGGAGGGCTCTCAACACAGTGAAGATTGTTTGTATAAAGAAACGGAATTTCTTCTTTAAAAATAGGTGTTAAAACATATTTTTGATAGCACTCCGAATTAATTTTGACATTTTTTTTTTCTACTTCTCTTATTTTAAGTTTTTGGTTATAAGAGAATCCAGTAATAATCCCAAAACCTTTAGAAAAATTTTCCTATTTTTTTTCTGAACCAACTCATTAATTTTTTCCCCCTCTTTTTTGTTAGTAAATCGATCTTTTTCTATTGCAATCAGATAAGTATATCGAAGTCCCATCAAATGTAACTATATATTTATATTTTTCACCTGCATACAATCTGCACATAGTTTCACACTGAGAAACATGTTTCGGCGTTAGGCGATGAACATAATATTTTTTTGTTTTGATTAGCTTTAAATCAGATTTTATAACTTTGTTCACAGTTCCTACAGAGTTACCTAAAGATTTTGCAATAGCTCTTTGGGGGGGGGGGTTGGATTTTTCTTTAAAACATGAAACGCGATTCTAGATTTAATAAGAGCTGTACGTACCTTTGTTGGGTACGTATTTTTTGCCTTTTTCCGACTCAGCCGTAATCGTCTGTCGGACAGAATAAAGGACTCTTTTTACCAAACGGATTGTAAAATGGATTTAAAATAGATTCAAATTGGAATTTTGCAAGACGAATATATTGGTATATCAGTATACGTTTGTACGTATGTGCGGGTATGTACATACATATGTATGTCGCATAATTGAAAAACGATTAGCTGTGGAACGTTGAAATTTTGCATACGCGACTGCTATAACACCCAGTTGTGCACCTCCCTTTTTTGTTGCAATCAGCCGCACCAAACGTATATATGTGATATTTTTCAGCAGTCGTGATGAAACTTGGCATTGCTTTTGCAGCGTGGTAAGGCGATATCAAATAACGACACAACAGGATAAAAGTTTATAGCTCAATGCTTTATTTCAATTCAAGAAGCAGATCAATATTCGTTACTAAATAGATTACTTTAAATTTATTGCGTCATAGAGGAAAAGAAGATGGGAACAGCAGCGTAGGTTTTTAACAGCACAGGGAGAGGGAAGCTTATGTTGTGTCGCTAAATGGCGCGCATTCGTTATTTATAGTAGCGGTTAGGTAATAGGCGCGAATGTTCAGTACTAGTCTAGGGGGAAGATCATGAATTGCAGAAAGTTAATTAAAGGTTGCTGGTTCGCAAAGAACAAAGCCGTCCTGATGTTTATTTTTTACATATACAGGGTGTTTCAGCAGTTCAGTTACAATTTTTCAGGAGAGATAACAGTATACCTGGACGACGGAAAATCATCACATAGTAATGCATTTCTAGCGCGGTGGTGACGACACATGAAACACAAGAAACGAAGGACACGAACCGGACGAGGAAACATATTTCTTATGTTTAGTACATCAGAAACCAAGAAATGAAAAAAAAAAAAAAAAAAAAAAAGACAACATTTGTCATGAATGAAAGAATTAAATTTTACGACACCGAAATTACGATCCTGGGCAGTGATGCAGGCCTCACATTTCCGGCACATGGAATATCTGATGCTCTGCAAAATACCCGTCGTGTCCTGCATCCCCCCAGCAGCTGTCAGGATGCGTGCAACACATGGAGGTAGGAAGTAAGAAGGAGTCGTCCTAAACAAGTTTCTCCGTACCCTGCTCTGAAGCACCGGCGATCCCTACGTGGTGACCAAAACATTGGGTCATTTACCATTGAGTTCTATGGGATTTGACGCGTTCGGTGTAAATATTTTGTAATTACGTCGCAAATATACATATAAATGTATATATTTTCTTTTCTACAACACTTCAGAGTCCTAAGTATGTGAAAAACAACATATTTTTAAACGACATTTCATTCTGAACGGAATTAAATGCTATACTTTTCTCAGAATGGTTTAATTTGAATGAAATATTTTCACAAGTTTTCGTTAATTACATTAGAAAAAAAAAATTAAGGTAGTTTCGATTTTATTCGGTTAAGGTACAAAAAATTAAGATCAAAGTTTATTGTATTATTAATATTAAAATTATGCATTATTTCTTTTCTATTTATAGAGCTTCTTCCTAAAATACTTTCTTAAATATGACATGATTTTTTGGCTTCTTTTAAATCGAAAAATGTAAGTCAATTTATAAATTGATGCTCTATTCGGTTCATTTTAAATTAGAGAATTATTAGAAAATAGTATTTGACTTTCTCTGAACATTTCTGAAAGGGAATAAAATAAGTTTTTTTTTTTTTTTTTTTTTTTTTTTTTTTTTTTTTTTTAAGTATTATTTAAAACTTGTAACTGAGTTATTATAAAATGTAAAGGGAATAATTCTTTTAATAATTATACTTATCAGATTTTTTTTCTTTTTACCCTTCATTTCAACAATACATATTCCAAAACTCTTTATTTACGTTCTTAAGTGCGCATCTCATAGCATTTGCTTTACAATACCTTTTAACAGATTGCTTTCCAATACGAACAATTCTTGCTTAAATAGTTTTATAACGTATTTGTCAACAGGATTTCAATTTATGTTTTCAATTCAATATTAAGGTTATTATATATTTAGATAACATTTATAATCATTATAAATTAGATACATTTAATAATTAGATTTCTTCACAGTACTTTCACAGTTGTTTATAAGTGAATAAATTCTTCATTTCAAATACATTTATAAATAATTTAATGAATATTTAAGTATTTTGTCAAAGGCAGATACATGCTTTTTGCAAGCACAGGCATAAATACCCATACATATTTCCTATTTATCATTTCAGGCATGTGCAAATCTTTAATTTCTGTGCTTTCACTATATTTTTCGTGTAAAGTAATTTACACTAATTTAGCATACACCCGAAAGTTTTACATAAAAAATATATATGAATATAATTTGCATGAAAATTATAAGTATTATTTTTAATACCCACTCAAAGGTCAGTTTTTCTTCAAAAATTCCCCCACGATGGCATCTCTCTTTAGGCAGATAGCCCTTGCATGCGTTACTCTATTTAAAAACTTAATCTGACCTATGTGCCTAATTACAAATATTTTAACATACATAATTTTATATTTACATTTAGCCATCAAGTTTCAAAACTTTTCAAATCTGCTAGAAAAATAAATTTTGGCAGATCTCTTTTAGCCAATTTTCTTAAAAATCTATATTTTTGTAGTGCAACAGCTTAGAATTTTATAAAACAAATTCATAATCAAAAATCGCTGTTGTTAGTTATCGAAAAATAAACAAGATGTGATTTTTGCGTAAATGTCAGTAAACTATACAAATTGCTATTATCCATCCCACTATGAATGTTTCTTTCATGCGAAAGTGTCCCTTTTTCGATTTCTATGGAACTGCCGTGTGTCGAAATACTATCAGAATTTTGTCAAGCGAGCTTCTGAATGTAAACAAAAAACACCCCGTCTGGTGACCCAAGCTTCAAAGCAGTGCTTCACTTCTAGCGCGGAATGGCCCCTCCTCCCTTTCCTACCTCCATGGTGCAACAAGTTCCTGAGCACTGTAAACGGGTGTTCCTTACACCCCCCCCCCGTAAAAGGAAGTAGTCAATGCAAGTGAGGTGCAGCGATCTTGCTGGCCAATGCACTGAACCACGCCTGCCGATTCAATGTTAAGAATATGTTGCATTCAGGTGGAGACGCACAAGGCTGTTAATTTGTAAGCAAAAATGTAACATTCTCAACGTTTTATCTGCACTGATCGTAATAAACATGTTTTCTCATCCTGTTCGTATCCATCCTTTCGTGCCTATGTTTTAAGCCATCACTACCGTCCCAGGAAAACGTTTCCGAACATGCAATTAGTGTGCGATTTTCCATCAGCTAGGTGTATTCTATATTTTCTGAAAGTTTCTAACACAATTGATGAAACATCCTTTATATATATAATTAAAGAAAAGAGAACAAACTATAAAAGACCTATGTGGTCAAAAACTTTGCACACTGAGCTGCAAAATTTAGAAAAAGGTTAAAAGAAAATTCCTAGTTCGTACGCTAAAAAGTTGCTTAGATACTGTGGTTCCCTGAAAATATTAACATAAGTAAAATACACTGCAATGAAATGTGTAAAAAAGATTAAATAAAGAATATAAACACTTGAATACTTACAAATAAAATTCAATACTAATTGTAAGCAATATGCTGATCAAAGTAAGGCATATTTTAAACATTAGAATTAAAGTGCGACAAAAGACTTAAGCAAAAAATACAAAAACAAAGAAGCGGTAAATGGTAGATTAGCCCAATTCGAATCTCATTAAGTCTCTTCAGGGGAAATAATTTTAATGATTTTTGAATCCAGTTAACTCCATATCGCGTTTCGCCGAAACAGACAATTGAAACTATATACGAAACACTTTTTATAAATTAATTGAAAAAACTTAGCCATAAACTTTAGTCTCAATTCTCTCTCTCTTTATATATATAGACACCCTGTATATATATATATATATATATAATTTATCAAGCAAAGCAGTAATTGGTCTTAGCAAGACCCACTGAGTTGTTCTTTTCTCAATTTTATTTTATATTGATTATTAACTGCAGGTTTTCTTACAGTCTCATAAAATCTACAGTTTTTAAAAATTAAATTGTTAATCTTTAAGCTTGCAGGCCCAGCCCGAATATATTTGTATTTTTAGGACTAATAGCTCATCGCTATTTATTTTCGTTTTGATTTTAATTTTAGACTAGATTTAGAAAGTTTGATTTTGATTTACATATTTTAACACCTTAATGTGTCTTTCTGAGCGGACACGTCGGGAAATTGGAACAGAGAATTGAGACTATTAAAATTTCCAAGACACTTTGTCAAAAAAATTTTAGCGAAAAAGTTTCAATTGTCTGTTTCGGCGAAACGCGTAATGGGGTTAGCTTGATTCGACGTTCAAATAATTGAAATTTCCCTTGAAAAGCCTGTTTGGATATCGAATTGGGCTAATTTACCATTTTCCGCTTACTTTTTAACTTTTTTCTGTTATTTAATTTTATTGTATTTATGTTTTACATGTCTATTGATTTGCTTTTCATGTGTATTAATTTTTGAAAACGTCTTTAAACCTTTTGGAGCAGCAGCTCTTGGTAACTTTTAGGCGAGCTTTCTACAATTTTTATATTATATATAGACACCCTGATGTATGTATATATATATATATATATATATAGACACCCTGTATGTATATATATATATATAGGTGTTTATAATTAAAGAACCTATTTCAAAGCCGACAACAAACCAAACTATTGATCAGAAAATTGTGAAAAATTTGTGGCGGACTTAATGAAGGGATGAGAATTTCTTTCAGAAAAAAACAAATTACAAATAGCGTCACCAGAGGGGATTATATTAATAAATTAAACTAAGTGTGGTGTAACTAACTGTGATGTTTTTCACTGGCGATCCACAGACTAATGGTACTTGACATAAAAAGTGCCAGATCACGAGGACTGCCACACTAGCCCTCTGACCGGCAAGAGTTTTCGCTAAGAAAACGCAAATTTCCCAAAACTACTATGAGAAAAAATTATTTTCTTGATTTTAATGTAAAAATTCTCCTAGTGTTTAATAGCTGGATTTGTGAACTTTTAATATATTGCTTTAGTTTCTTTGACATATTTTAATATGCACGTATATATAGTTTCTTAGAGATATCACAAAAAATATTCACAAAAAATATATACGGCCTTGCCGGTTAGACTAATAATAGTAGTTGGTAGGTAGTTGACAATATTTACCTGCGATAATTCGAACCGGGTGTTGAGGGAAGTTGTCACTGATTTTAGCATTCCACTAATAGAGAAATGTTGTTTTCCATATCTGCGAAAAAAAAAAAAAAAAAAAAGGAAAATATTAGCATATGAAGAAAATAAAAAAATTTATCGGTAGCTCAACTATAACTAACAGTAATAAAGTAATAAAGCCGAGATTTAACAGAAGAAAACAGCACACACACAAAAAAAGAGGCAGTTCTATATTTCCTGTTCTACTGGGCCGAATGACGAAACTTAATTTGTGTTTTTCATGTCTCGAAAGCGCGAGTTAGTTATATATTAGATTTATATATAGCATTGCTCCAACATAGGTATTTTGACCCAAAATCGACTTTTTGTGAGCAGACATACTGACTTTTTCCCATTTTTTGTTTCTACGATTCAAATAGTGCTGAATATTAAATTTTGTAAAATTAGGTGAAAAACTTACGAAGAAATTGAAAAATTAATTTTGGTGCACACGTTTTACTTTGCGCCAAGAATAATTTACTTGACGAAATTCTTAATTTATGGTAACCTATGTTCTTTCCCTTTCGTTGTGCACGTACGAAAAAAAAGGTGCATAGTTCATTCTTTCAATTTTTTTTAAAGGGCGTAAATCACATTTCGCGTTATTACCGTTTATAACAAATATGGCAAATTTCAAAACGTGGTAATATATAAATTCATGCATATCTAAGGAAATTTTCAGTAACAAGCTCTCATGTTTTGCAGATGTGCCTAACAATACATCTGCTTTAAGGTCACGGTAAAAATTTTATAACTTATTATTCAAAAATTTATAAAAATTACATAAAAGAAATAAGAATTTTAATTGACTAAAATTTCGAATTGTGAAACAAAGAATCAAGTAAGTTTAATAATAATAATAAGATATTGTTGCGTTTTTTTTTCTGACACCAGTTGTTACGTTATTTTCTTCCTTCACGTTCGTACGGGGTTCGTAGATGTGGAGTGAACAATGACGAGACTCTCCACGCTACAACTCGCGATGCACTCGACGACACACAGAGCACAGCTCCCGACTCTTCGGTTCAGTCGTTCCCGGAGCTTAACACACTCTCTCGACAGTGCACTAACCGCAAAACACTAAGAGACTCTTCGATACGCTCGACGACCCACTCGGCGCTAGACTTCGATACACTCGCTCAATGACTGACTATCATCTCGCTAGACGAGGCACCTACTCGCCCTCTCGACGAGGCACACTCTGACTGCGGACCAGCAGAGTTTATATAGCATTCGGCTTGTGTTCGAGAACATTCTGGGTTCGAGAACCGGTAAGAATTCGTTCCAGAAGGTTCTCCATCAGTCCATGGCATATCGCCGATTTTGTAGCCAAATGGGCGATTTCTCGCCAAATGTGGCAACTCTAAATCTGCTTTGCGGGGAAGCTATCTCACCGTACCTGTACATTTCGTAACAATACATTAATAAGTGTATACCAAATTCAATTAACATTGAGGAGTTAAAATTTTGAGAGCTAATTTTTTAAAAACTACTGATGCGATTTTTACAATATTTGGCACTTTGGCATAACATGAATCGCAGAATCGACATATAAAAAAATCGATATATCGTTTCAGAAAAGGCCGATTTTGTGTCAAAATACCAGTGTTAGAACAATGCTATATATAAATGTAATATATATCCCAAATCGCGCTTTCGAAACATAAAAATTTTAAGTTAAATCTCGTCAATCGGCTCAGTAGAACGGGATAAAATTGCCCCCCCCCTTTTTGTGTACAGTGTACTATTCACGATGAAAAAGATCAGAGCAGTTAGCAAATGCGTATATATGGCATATACACCGAAGAACCATTACATTATGACCACTGTGCATCTATAACAATGGGCTCGCCCAGGAACAAAACCACTGCGCGTGCGCGGCTGATGTTGGAGTATATAAAAAAGCTATGCATTGTCTTTCCAAACTTCATTTTGAACCAAAGACTTGCATGGGCTAACCACATCAAAAGTGTCAAAAGTAAAGCCATTGGCATCATAAACAGATTCCTCGCTTTTATAGGGAAGTATTCATATCGAAGTCTTCGCACCAAGAAACACATCTACACTTCGTGCATCAGGCCTATTTTATGTTACGCTGCTCCTGCATGGAACACAACAACGAAGAATCAACTTACCAACCGCAAGTGGTTCAAAACAAGTTCCTGCACATTAATACCGATGCTGACAATCTGATCAGGAATGAACTCCTTAACATGGGTTTAAAAATTGACTATACCTCTGACTATATCAAAAGGACAAATGATGAGAAATGTTTTACCAAGGCCATCCAATGTGACTTCGTCAATTAATCACAAGTTTTTAATTACGAGCTACTATACGAAGACAAAAATATTAGACCTCTTGCTGCACCATCGATGGCGACCAGAACTTTGTTACTTAGCTCCTCGGTCGGTGGTTGCCTATACTTTTACACTTATCTTATCTTAACATTAGTTGATTTTTGAACTTGTTTGGAAATTTTTTCTGCATTTGTAACTCTGTTTGCATTTACTGTTTGTATTATATAGCCTTTTGTACTTGTTTTACCAACAAGTTTGTTTTCGTACTTGTTCTTATGGATTGTATTTTGCATATAGTATCTTGACTTTTTCTCGTATTTTGCATTGTATTCTTCTCGATCATTGCATAACCTATGGTTATTTTTCACCTCTCGTCAAGCACTGAGTCATCTGTCTGATTCACTTTTTGGCTTTGGTCCTTTTAGGCCATCCTCCTTTTTCTTAAACCTTGCCTCCGATTTCTCCTCAGAGATTCTCTCCACTTCCAGAGCTTCTTATGTCACGTGCCTTCGGGTATCACTTCATTAAACCGGCAACATTGCATCTAACAATAGCCAGGTCATAATATCGTGTCTAAGTATTTCCAAACATAGAGCGATTAGCGATATAATGGGGAAAGTAGCTGATTTATCAGATTTCGATAAAAGCCAAATCATTATGGCTAGGTGACTGGGAACATCAATATCAGAAATGGTGCGTTTAATGGGCTGTTCACGTGCAGGTGTTGTGAGCACATATCGTAAGTGGTGTATGGATGGTGAAGCGACAAGTCGCCGGCCAGCAGTGTGTCGTTGATGGCGCATTGATTCCAGGGAAGAGCAGAAATAGCTACGCATTGTTTGCCGTGACCGAAGAGCTACAACAGCCGAAATCACCGCCAGCTACAACGGCGACCCAGACAGTGTTTCTCAACACACTGTGACGCGAACATAGTGTTTCTCAACACACTGTGCAGCGAACACAGTGTTTCTCAACACACTGTGCAGCGTACATTGTTGCGTATGGTACTACACTGATGGCACATCAAAGCATGTCCCTGCACTGATGGCACCTCATAGCCAACTGCGTCTGCAATGGGCTAAGAAACATCGAAACTGTACAGAATTAGAAGAATGGAAGAAAGTTGCATGGTAAGAGGAATCATGTTTTCTGGTCCATCACATCGACAAGCGTGTGCTAATACGCCGATTTCCAAAATTATTTATTAACAAAATACACGAACAGTAGTAGAGAAAATATACATAAAAACAGAACATACACCGTTTTAACGGAACGCCTAACATTTAGAATTAACATTCGAGTCACAGGACACTTAACATTTAGAATTAAAATTGGAGTCACAGAACACCTAACAGTTTATAATTAACATTCGAGTCACAGAACACCTAACATGTAGAATTAACGTTCGAGTCACAGAAAACCTAACATTTAGTATTAACATTCGAATCACAGAAAACCTAACATTTAATATTAGCATTCAAGTCACAGAACATCTAACATTTAAAATTAATTTTCCAGTCACACAATACCTAACATTTAGAATTAACACCCGAGTCACAGAACACCTAACATTTAATATTAACACTGGAGTCACAGAACACCTAATATTTAGAATAAACATTCAAGTCACTTAACATTTAGAATTAACATTCGAGTCATAGAACACTTAACATTTAGAATTAAAGTTCGAGTCATAGAACACTTAACATTTAGAATTAAAGTTCGAGTCACAAAACACCTAACATTTAGAATTAACATTCGAGTCACAGAGAAATAATATTATAGAAACTACCTTCATCGCAGTTGGAAGCCGACTGGCTGTAAGTTGTTCTCGTTACCACTAGAGGGCGTTCGATAAAATAGTTCTGTTGCAAGTTAAACCAATAGTTTCTTCGCGATATTCTTTCATATTCTTTGCTACTTTTCCTTCTAAAATGTTAACCGTATTTAACTTACGATTACCTGATCTCTTGAAAAAGAAGCTGTGGCTTGTTTCCGATATAATAATGGATAATTTTGTTTCCTGGTTCTATAATTCCATATCTTACTACTTTCCGATATCATAATGGATAATTTTGTTTCCTGGTTCTATAATTCCTTATCTTACTACTCTTTCCACTTCATATACTTTTGGGCTAAAGAACTAACTTCCATCACATAGATGAAAATCAAAAAACACGAATACAGTAGACTCCCGTAAACTCGAAAGAATGGGGACTGAGAGACAGTTGAGTTTCCGTAAAGTCGAATTTTATGGAATAAGGCGTGGTTTTTCAGAACTCTTAAAATTTAACTCTTTGCTGCGCGTGATATTATTTTTATAATGTTTTAACTAAAAGCCTCTAGATATTATGATTCATCTAGACATCGAATATTATGATTCTAGAGACAAATAATATGTGAATTTAAAAAAAATCTACTCTTGTCCATTGATCTGCGGGTGGTGGTACCGCTTTTCCATCTATCTAGCTAGCCAGCACTTGTAAATCCAGGCTCTCCTTGAAATTCATCATAAAATTTAGGGCTTTCTCTTGTAAAATTGGTCCTGAAAGGGGTGTTCGCTGTTCCTTTTGCTCCCTGAACCTCCAATAAAAGCACCTCGCTCACTTTTTCGTATTCACCACCTTTCATACTTTCCCTTTAACTATCCGTTACTTAAACTATCCGTAAATACTCTTTCCACGTACCAAAACTCGATTTCGGACCTCTTCTTTTTCCACCCTATCAAAGTAGTCCATCCAACACCTAAATCCATGATAATTCTGTTTACCCTTTCCTTTTTGTCCAGTCTCTTTAAGGCATCTAGTTTCATTTTCATTGTCATCTTAGTTTGTTTACTTTTATTTTCAAGCGACATTTCATAGTACAGAATATCAAAAGTACCCCAAAATATGTAATACTTATATGCCTGGATATGAACTGAGGAACGATACCCACAATGAACTGGTGTGAGTTTAGTTTGCAATAAGATGAAGTCACAAAACTTCAGACAAGTCCCCTAATTTTCTGCAATAATAGAAAGGAACGTGAGCCAGCGGCCAGCCGCTACCTGATTTTCTTCGTAGCCTCGAAAAACCAAACAGCGTTGTCAAGTATTACTACATATCTTGAAATTTGTTAAGCAGTTTCAAGAATTAAAATGCAAAAATTACAGGAAAAGAACACTCAAATCTTTGAACAGAACAGGAAAAATATAAGCATAAATAATAATTATATGCACTGTATATAATATTCGCCCTGTTTGGCCTAGAGATATCTTTAAAACGTTCCTAAAATGTCGAGTTATACGGAATGTCGAGATATCGGGAGTCGAGTTTGCGGGACATACGATTCCGTATGTCCCGCAAACTTTGCGGAACCGTACATTGCAAGTACCATAACGCTTTTCTCGTTTTCTCAATTGAATATCACCACATCGTTTCCGATGGCTGTTTTCAAAAGGAATTAAAATTAATTAAAAGTGACGATTAGGTGGATATTCTTTCCGGATAAAGTTTAGTGAATTATTGCAAAATCCTTAACTTATTGTTTTATCTATAAGCAACATCAATATGACAGCTCCGTTCGCGCAAATATTAATGATTGCTTGAAAAGTTATGGCCATTCCAAATTTAATTAAAGATTTATCAATTAAATTAGATATTTAAGATACGAATGAAATTGGTCTTATTTATGAATGGGGTGCACTACATTAATCTTATTGCAAGTCTTCGCTTTAAGATTTGGGGACAGTTACTTTTCAAATACGAAAATACCTTTCAAATACGTTGGTTTTGCTATGTTTGTTTAGTTTCAAATACGTTAGATAGTTACCTTTCAAATACGACAGTGGCTTTCATATACCTTAGCTTTGTTATGTTTGCTTAGTTTCAAATATGTTAGTTAGGGATAATTACCTTTCAGGTACGTTCTCTTTAGTTTCAAATACGTTAGTTAGAGTATAGTTATCTTTCAAACATATTAATTTACTTTCAAATACGTTAGTTATGGGATATTTATTGTTCAAATATGGCAATACGTTGTTAAATTTGTTCAGTTTCAAACACATTCGTTAGAGGATAGTTACCTTTCAAATACAGCATCCCATTTGTCTCGAATATAGTTGAAGGTCAAATCTCTACCATACAGCTTGGATCCTATCGAACGGAAAACGTAACTGCCATCTTGTCGTCGAATTCCGGAGTCAGACGATAAACTCCAGTTCAGATACCTAAAAAATAAAGCCTTTTGTTAAACTCGTAACGTGAAACTGTTAACATAGCAACGAAAATTATAAATTAAAAAAAGAAATTAAATAACCCTAGTATAAGACTGAGAACTCAAAATATGTAAAAAAAGTCATCTGTAATTCAAGAGAAATAATACAATAGTTACCATCTAGAACTGTACTCACATGTGTTCTTTCAGGACAATAACAATTACCTTTGAAGACCCAAATTAAAGTAATATGCATAGGTACCGAAGAAACTGAAGCAAATTTTAAAAACACTTACATGAAATAAATAAGAATAACTATTAAAATATAATTCTTTCGACCAGATATGCTTCCATGGTTTGCCCTCGTTCTTGATATTATCATTCTTGGGACAGAAGTATCTGTTTTATGAGGCAAATTTTATCTATATGATATGTGGATAAGTAGGACCAGCATCTAAGCTTAGTTACAGTGCAACGGGACAAATTTGTACTTTCTCATTTAGCATTGAAAACGTAACACAGATTTTGAATCACAGCAGAAATATTTTTATGGATGGAACATTCAAAAGCAGTTGCAAACAGTTTCCTCAGTTATCCACCTCCAACTATCGCTGTATGCCGCGATTAGCTTGGAATGTGCAAGCTGCTTTCCGGCTATGATAAAATGTGACGCTACTGTGAACACTTCTAGTAGATTGAATGCTTGACGATGAGTCCAGCAGTACAGGGGTGAGGGTAAAGGGCGTGACAAACTATCACGTGAGCAAGATGAGACGTCTGATTGGTAGGGGGTTTCCTCAAGTTTGATACTTTGATACTTGGTCGGTGTACTGGCCTGCAGCAGGTGATAGTGTTCCCTACTCTTGCCAGTTATTGAAAGAGTCCCATTAGAGCCTGACTTGTAATGCAACCGTAAAGAACAATCTCCAAAAGAGATAAGTACCTGACGGGGAGAGAATAGATTAAAGCACTTTGCTTCTAAAATTGAAGGCCGGGAAGGTCTGGAGACTGGTCGGTGTCGATCCTGGTAGTCTCTCAGATATCGCACATACGCGAAGACACAATATCAAATTGAAAAGTAAAAGCGCTAGATCCTCAGCTGTATCCTTTCACGCAGATTTCAGCAGCTCAGTGGACGAACATAAAATGGTGACTGTAGCATATGCTGTGACGCTCCATAAAAATAAAGGACCTTTATTATACCTTTTCTCAAGTATTAAAAGAATCGATAACTAAATGTACCTTTATACTTTTTAGTGAAAAAACACTAGTGAACTATTGTGAGTACTTTATAATTTTCGTTTCGAATTTTTATTTGGACTCATGGAACCCTGGGGTTTGACTCACGAAGCCCGAGGGTTCAGTGGAACACAGTTTGAAGACCACTGCTCTAGAGCAGATTTAAATGCATCGCCAACGATTTTATACCACATTAAAGAGGACCATATAATTACGAATGAAACAAAGGGAGTTTCAATTTAGTTCCCAAAGTACAACGATATTTTACTGATGAAGTTATCTCATTCGTAAGTTTCCAGAGTATTTTCATTATCAGTTTCAACACAAATTTCATTTATTGTGTGTTAAACGATAATGAAAAGGAAAATGTGTGATTCTTACCTGGTCAGAAGCCATGGTTCTTGTGCGCAGGCCAATGAATACATGAATTTGTCCTTCTCGGAAGCTATCTGAGCGACCTTATAGCGTTCCCAGACGAAATTCCAAGCTTCTTCTCCACCGTGTCTCACAGCTGTACAATAAACAACGCTTCGAAGATTCGGTGGAATTCTGAAGAATTAAAGAAACGTGCAAAAAAGCGTTTGATTAAAGCACTTAAAATACAGTTTTAGTTCATTTATCAGTTTATCTCAATGAGCTTTAAAAATATGTTAAAAGTTTAAATTTATCTTAATGGGATTTAAATTTATCTTAACGTGTTCATTTTAAAAAGGGAAGGGATTTAAATTTATCTTAAACATGTTTTAAAAAAGGGAAAAATAACATTGCTAACAAATCGGATCTGAGCCACAAGAAAATTGTTTTGCAAAGTTAGAGCCATTTTTCGTTATTGTAAATAAATTTGCTAATCAAATACTGAACTTCAACTACTTGACTCTATTTTTAATGAGCTTTAAATATATCTTAAACGTTTAAATTTATCTTAACGTGTTTTTTTTTAAAGGAAAGGGATTTAAATTTATCTTAAACATATTTTTAAAACGAGAAAGATTACATTGCTTACAAATCGTATCTGAGGCACAAGAATATTGTTTTGTAAAGTTAGAGCTCTTCTGCATCATTCTAAATAAATTTGTTAATCAAATACTGAACTTCAACTATTTGACTCTAATACTTAATGAGCTTTAAATATATCTTTAAAGTTTAAATTTATCTCAATGGGATTTAAATTTATCTTAACGTGTTTATTTTTTTTAAAAAGGGATTTGAATTTATCTTAAAATTGTTTTAAAAAAGGGAAAAATTACGTTGCTTACAAATGGGATCTGAGCCACAAGAAACTTTTTTGCAAAGTTAGAGCTCTTTTGCATTATTCTAAATCAAATTTTAATCAAATGCTGAACTTCTACCATCTGATTCTATTCTTAATAAGTGCTTTTCCAATCCTTACAAATTTTATTCTTATAGTCTTTTGAGATGCTTTTAAGGAACTTGAATAAAATGCTTTTCTTTACAATGTATATTTACACGTAAAAAAATCCCTGAAACGATCCAATTAAAAAAAATAATTGTTTTTAGATATTTAAGTTACAATGCACTAACTTGTCTATCGAAATACCTTTGCGTTTTTTATTATTTGAGCATAAACTGACTAATTTCCTTAATATAAAATTGCAATTGCTTACATTTCGACGTTCGTAGGATCTTCCTTCCAGAGCTGAAATTTTTCCTGCGCATTCTTAACGCAGTCTGGGTAACCATAAACACACATCCAACCTAAAGCACTCATTCTTGTGTACCTAAATGTATAAAACAATTTGTAGTACAGAACAAGAAATTATTTTCAAACATACATTTTCATCGAATTTTATGTGCGTAAGCGTCAGGAACGTAATATTTAGTAAATAAAGTAAACACACAAAATGTTAGTAGTAAAAAGACAAAAAAAAAAGTTTTGTACAGAAATCTTAATAAGAAAACTGAATATTGATATGATAAACTAGGAAAACACTGGAAAAAACTGTATGCCGACGCTTAACACTATATTGGGAATTCTAAGCGTATACTGCCATGCCGGTTTTAAAATTTTTGTAAATTTGCTCTTGAATTGTATATGCTGTAAGGGGTTTTTCGCCCGTACAACACGGCGCTTATTAATAAAGCTAAAAAGATTTTAAAAAAAGGGGGTTAGAAGGAATGAGTGTAAATAGCACACTGGTAACCCGAACTCAGCGAGGGTTAAAAACACCTTAACAAACCTGTTAAACATTTCAGATTTTTTATTAGCCCAAAGAGCGTTAGCTCAGAACGGCTATTAATTTCTGTTTGGTATTTTACGTCGGTTCACTATAAACGGCATTTCACTTTTCAAATTGTTGCCACCAAATACTAGAGACCTGCATTACATTTAAAGAAATTAAATAATGAAGAATGGGCATGAATGTATGTATATCTCTATATGTAATTTTCTTGCACTGTGAAAAATCAACGGTACCGAGAGACATAGAATTATGAATAACGTAGTCTTCTACTCGAATATGGGCATCTGGAAGACCAAATTTGGAATTTATTATCTATTTCATATTTTGTAAAACTTTAACGAATTTTTGATTAAGAAACTCACCAGTTTCAAAGCGAGCAATGGCAACATTCTAAGGAAAAAAAATATTCCAGCTTGCGATGCTATGTATCAGAAATTCTAAAGATACGATCTTTTTAAATTATTTTTTGAAATTGCCGCTAAATTCAGTTTTAGGGTTTAAGTGCGAAGAACATGATATTCAATAAATAAAGGCAATACACAAAACGTTAAAAAAAAAAGCCCCATTGGTCGTAATACAAAATCTGACAGCTTTCAGATTTAATAGTCCAAAGGGGTTTTGTCCCTGAAGGACTATTGTTTTCGTTTTGCGTTGAGTCACCATAAATGTCTGTTTCACTTTTCAAACTGTTGCCACAAAACGTTAGAGTCCTGCATTATATTTGAAGAAATTAAATAATGAAAAATCTGCATAAATGTATGTATATTTCTAGCATTGTGATAAAATAACGGTACCTAGAGCCATCGAATTTTGAATGACGTCATCCTCCTACGAATATGGGCATGTGGAAGACCAAATTTGAAATTTGGAGTTTGTTTTATTATCGATTCCATATTTTGTAAAACTTTAACGAATTTCTGAGTAACAAACTCAACGATATAAAAGCGAGAAATGGCAGCACTTTACGGGGGGGGGAAACCCTTTTTATCTCCAGCGCCCGGAACTGTGTATCGGAAATTCTGAAGATAGGTTCATTTTAAAATTATTTTGCGACATTATATTGAACTGAATTTTATGGCTTAAGTAATAATAACATGATATTTAATAAATAAAGGTAACACACAAAACGTTAAAAAAACGCCTCTTTGGACGTAATTCAAAATCTGAAAACTTCAGATTTTTTTTCATTATTTATTTATTGTTTATTTGTTTTAATAATGCTTTTAAATTTCATTAAAAATGTATCGCTGGTTAACTGTTTTCAGATCGTGCATTCGACTCACATCCAAATGGAATTTGAGACCAATTATCGAAAGTGTGACAGTGTTGCATATCAAATGACAGCGGCCTAAATATATCCTAAATTACGTAAATTCTTTATTCTGGTTAATACTATCAATTGCCTCTACAAGCAATCAATCGTTTAATTTTTCATCTGACAAGAAGATGATAATGAAAGCCTTTATTTATTATTTTAATTTATCATTAAACCAACCATTGCCAAAATACGAAAATTATGCTTACTGTCTCAAAATATTTTCATCAGGGCTTTCATCCCATCCAAGTTGGTTATACAACGGTTCTAACTGGGAGATGATATATTTCTGGAAAAGAAAATTAACATTTAGTTGAGGGAGAAAAATTATCGAGGGAAATAAAAATGCACATATTTTTAAATTCTAACATCTAGAAGACATAGAACTAAATTGTACATTGGAAAGACAATGCTAGTAAGACATTAAAATTACAGAGGTTGTCCAATTGAAACATAAACAGCGCACTTTATGGTAAGATAAGTATGCATAACCATACTTTTCTCAGATCTTTTAGAAAGATGTAGACTTAACATTTAAATTGCAACCCCTTGGCTTATATATTTAAACGGCTCTGGCTCGGTTAACTTCAAAGTCTAGAAAAACTAAAAGTTAAAGAAAAGGCTTGCTCCACATAAAAACAACTATTAGAAAATTAAAGTAAACTGTACAGCTTTAAAAACGTGTTTATTTTGTTTATTGGTTAATCTAGCTTGAACCTTCTGAACACGGTTACAGAAATTTGTACGAAGATAATAGTTTATAGCAGATAGCTTTCCCATCCCTTGTCGTAATAACCAACTTAATGTAACACAGCAAAATAAGAAAAGAAAAAAAAAAACTAATAATAATAATAAAGTTTTGGTATTTTGAAGCAGCGATGAACTTTTCATTTGATTAACTATGGCGACTTTTTTTTATAGCAGTGGAATTTCGGAGGAAATATTATAAAGTTACCTTCCATTTTCCGTAGATGGCGCTGCGACAAAGCATGTTATCGATGAAACTGAAACCATGAAGGGCCGCTTTCCATGGCAAATAATCTTCTTCGTTTTTCAGGTAGAGAGTTGTGTTCAATGCTAGATGGTAATTCAGTTGACCAGCTCTGTATGTGGAGAAAAAAGCAGTATAAGAATTAAAAATTTTATCTTAAAAATAGACCGAACTTAAAATAGCACATTTTTTAAATTTGAGTAACGATACATTTAACCATGATTAGTATTTTTAAATATTTACTATTATCTATCTTCTTAGCTATACATACACTGGTTATCATAAATTAAGGAAAAATCACAAAAATAGCGATAACTCTCTCAAAAATGAGCCAAACAGTGTAAAATTTGAATATGTTGTCAAGTAAGAGTAGCTGAGTAAAACTGCAATATGCAAATTAGTGACACTGCACTCGGAATACGTCATCTGCGAGGAGTATAAAAGTCCCTGTTTGAGAGCAAGTGCACATATTTCAGTGTGATAGTGACATCAGAAATCTGAGATGGCCAATTCGTTACAATGACCTGCAGGCATCATTTGCCTGCAGAACTACGACGGAGAGCCGTTGCGAGACTAGAGGCAGGACAAAATTTGAATATGTCAAAGAGAAGTGGCCAGATGGCTAAATGTGAGTCCTTCTGTGGTTCAAAGACTGTGGAGGCAATTTCAGACTACAGATTCGGCATTTAGGAGGTTCAGCCAAGGACGGCCAACTGCTACGACGAGCACCGATGACCGATATTTGACATTATGTGCAAGCAGGAATAGAACCGCTACTCCAACTCTTCTTAGATCCTCCCTTGCTGCAGCCACCGGAAGTTGGGTGTCAACGTCAACTGTGCGTAGGTGGCTTCACGAAGATGGTCTGTATGCGAGGCGACCAGCTATTTGCGTGCCGCTCACGTCACGCCATAGGGGGGACCGTTTGCAGTGGGCACGACAACATGTCCGACGCTTGATCTGTGGAGGGTTGTTCTCTTTACGGATGAAAATTAAAATATAGGCATTTATTAAATTAAATTATAATTCATCAGGTTTAGTCTAGAAAGCGATAGTAGGCGTTATTTGATATGAAAAGAACCTGGAACCCGTTATCATCAGTAAAACATCTGTGAAAGAGATACATACGGAAGAGGCAGTGTCTGTGTTTGGGGTGACATCTCTTTGGGTGGACGCACAGACCTCCATGTCTTTCCAAGGGAAACCGTGAATGCTCAGGTTTATAGAGATGATATCCTTGATGTTTATGTGCACCCATATGTCTGGGCAATAGGTGATGCTTTCCTGTTACAGGACGGCAACGCAAGACCACACAGGGCTCTCATCGTAGATGATTATCTTCAACAGGAAACAATTATGCACATGGAGTGGCCAGCTCGATCCCCAGACTTGAATCCTATCGAGCACGTCTGGGAAGCTTTAGGGAGACGACTAGTTGCTCTCAATCCGCCTCCTCAGACCCTTGCCGCGCTTGCAACTACTTTGCAAGAGCAATGGTTCTCGTTTCCTATGGAACTGATAGACCGCATAATTGAAAGCATCACACATCGCTGCATGTGCTGTATTGCTTCTAGAGGCGATCAAATTCGAATTGAAGTACTTTCATATAGCAAACTGACACCTTCGATTTGTTCATTTTATGTGCTAATTTCTATACTACCATATTTGGTAATTTCTTTTTATGTTATTTGATACCTTATTATGTGTTGTATATTGAGGGTAAGTTTCATTAAATTCTACATGAACTTTTCCAGTAATCGTGATTTTTGTGATTTTTCTTTAATTTATGATAACCAGTGTATAATAAAAGAAAGAGTCTGTCTGTGTGTGTGTGTTTTTCGTTCGCGCTGCGCGTAAGCTAATAGACCCACGGCTACGAAATTTGGTACATAGGTGCATATAGACAAGAGCCAGTGCACCTCGAAACGATTTTTTCGAAATTTGAATTAGAATATTTTTTATTTTATGTTTTGTGACGAAATCGCGTCATTTTCTTGTGTAGCTCAAATTTTGAATAATTACAAATTAAAATTTTGAATTTTATAAATCACTTAATTATATTAAATTCGCTATACAACATTCTTTTCAAAATTTGAGCTACACAACAATTTTGAGACATAATGGGTTATAGGGAAGCGAGATTTTACTCCACACACTCCATTTTCACATCGTCATAAAACGTAGGCACTTAGCTATTTTACGAACTTAAAATAAATTTCGTGTTTCAATAAATCGATTATATACGAATTTATTTAACAAAGTGAGCTTAATACCTTTTCAACGGGATTTTTTCTAAAAAAGTATATTTTTAAAAATGTACAGTACACTCTGTTACCCAGCTCAGAAATCTCAGTTTCCTTTCTCTTATATGTTTGTAAATTGTACATTTTTTGCTTTAAAAATAATTTAATTATGCTATTGATGTCTTCCAGTTAAGGTTTTTATGCCTTTAAGAAATCTGCAAGCAATTTTTGTAGAATTATCAACAATTTAAAAACTCTTTAATTGCGGTTAAGCCTAATATTTAAATAACGTGGCGGACATGTTTGCTTACATTTGACACAGCAGAATAGTAGATTTGTTGCCAATCTAGAGAGACTAAGCTTCTCAACAACAAAGATAACGCCGTCATTTATTACTGCAAATTAAATCATGCTTAATCGTTTCTGGAATTTTTTTCGAGGAAATAAGTGTTTAAGATTTACTTCGTAATTTTTAATATAGATATTTTGAGTTTTTATTGTATTTTGTTTTGCGCTATGCGAAAACTGAATTAATTGAATGAGAAATACTGAATAGTCTGTGAAAAACTGTATCTATTTTGTTTTGTTTGCTGAATTTCTTTTATACATCGTTCTAGATTTATTGTAGTATTTGAACAGAACATGTGGCAACGATTAGATAATTCTTCAAATGATATGATTTAAATTTTGTGCATTCTGAATTATAATATGAACGAAATATAACGCTGTTAAGTGAACCTAGCGCCAGAGTGTCGCTATGGTAAACAAATATCGTGAATTTTAAAGAGTGCACTTATTCTATTGTGCTTTATCCGCTATCGAGGAAGTATATTTAATTCAATCCAATAAGTTTAAAGGAAATGCAAGAAAAATGCGTATAATTTAATATTCCGTACAAGGAAGTCATGTGGTGTACACATCAGATTTTTTTATTAGCGTTTTCAGAATTTTTATTAATATATCGGCTGATTAATGTGGTACGAAGATGAGAATGGTAGAAATATCGGGGGAACTGTCTGAACTCAAGTCCATGACATTCCGGAAGAACTGATGTTACAAACCCAACAGACAGACGCGCAAAGATTTTCATACTATAGATTCTATATTATAGATTCTCTAATGTTTTGTTCCTCTATATTTGTGTTCATCATTGTTATTATTAATAATTGTTTAAATTCTTCGTTGAACATTAACACTACCATTACTTTTATACAAAATTCTGTCGGTTTAAATATTTTTTTTTAAAGTGATAGTTCTACTTTTATGCATTTTCTAAAATAATTCATGGTAAATTTTCCATAGACGTAGGTCGTCCAATTATTTTTTTAAAAGATTCGTGATAAGCCTCTATTTTTCTCATAATACACAAATATCTTATATATATGCGGCTTAAGTGTCTGTTTGTCGCCGATAGTTTATTGGTTGCTTGTGTAACTGTACTAGCCAATGGGGGTGAAGTTGCCACGGCATTCAAATAGTCGATATACACTGATACCATACATGCAGTTATCATTGTTTTAATTCAATTATTAGAGTATTTAAGAACATTTAAATATTTTTAATTCATACAATTGTTGCTTATTATGCATTTAGCTATATTTACATATGAATTACCTAGGAACTTCCAAACATTGAGAAATTAAAGGAGACGAAACCAACTAACGAGTTGTGCGTAGTACATATCATCAGGTAGGTTTACCCAAAATCCTATGCTAAGTATCCTTTCGCGTAAAGAGTTTAAATTTTGCCCGATTTTATTCTGACATTGTATTTTAGACTGAATTTTCAGCTGACTGCAAATTGAGCGTGTCAGGGAGAACGTGAACATTTGTTTGCATTAGCAATCATCTGTTTTTGAAATGGTTTACAACTGAACGCAAGAGTTTGTGAAAGAACGGAAGTAAAATTAAAAATAATTAATGGTCCTCTGCAAGGCGAGCTTAAAAATGATGGAAAGATCTACGCAAGAAATGGTATGACAAAAAGAGATGACATGTGAATTAACATTTTATTATTTAAATCACCTTTATTTATTGAGCTAGCGGTGGCTCTTAAGAAATGTACCTCCAGTGGTTTCCTTCATTGCACTCTGCTTTAAGCAATTAAGCAAGTAGAAAGGGGCAACACCGTGGGGCACTAAGCAAAGGGGCGTTCCTCGCCGCCTGCCCTGGATAATTCAGTTTGAATTAGCCAGACACCTTTGCACAAATCATTTTAATTACAATTTATAATATCTAGAATAGCAGTCATTTCGTATGAGTATAAGAATACTAGAGTATTCTTATAATATTGAACTAATACGAAAAATTAAATTTACCTGGCTAAGTCTAAAGAATCATCTAATATCTGGGCACGATTCACTGTATGAATTTTCTGAAAGTAAACAAGTAGAACATTTGTGATAAACAATGCATAGTTAATTACACATATTTATCATTTAAAACAATTTTTATGAAAAACAATTAAGAATTTATATGGATTTTTTGTTAGAAAATAGGTTCTTGTTGAAACGCATTTATACCAGAATTTTTAAGGGATTAATTACAGACAACCTGAATAAAATTTAGAAGCTAAAATCAAATTATGAAATTTGAAACGAATGTCCACAATCAAATTTTACATGGTTTCCGCCCGCCTTTTTTTTTTTTTTTTTTTTTTTTCTTTTTTCAATAGAGGAATTGGTACTTCGATAAATATGCATAATTGAAATATATATATAATAAAAAATATTAAAAGCCCTGGAATTATTCTCATTTTCGATTAAAAAATTATTTAAAAATAAATGAAACACGATTCTGTAAACAGCTGTGAAAGGATTTTTAAATGTTTAAATACATTTTGCAAACAAGCTTGCTTATTGATTCCTAATAATTTATTACGTGTGAGCTATCATATAAATACAAGGTTAAACTATTTTAATTCGGCACATGTATCAAAGAAATAATTAATTATTTGTAGTTATTGCAGATATTTTACGGTAAATAATTAATTTCTTGTTTACTCACGAGATGGCGCAGCTATTTCCATGGACGAGCACAACGCAATGTTACGTAGAATTTCTAAACTCTGCAGGCGGAACAAGTTTCTTCTTAACTTTGCGCAAAAAATACATATTTTAAAGCATAAAAAGGTACTATTCCGTTTTGAGGACCGTAAAAAAATGTATGCGCAAAAGCGCCAAAACTAGCAAACGCGTGCGAATTAAATTATGCTTAATTCATTATGGAATTAACATTAAAATTATTAGCTTATTTTTATATAGAAATTGTAACTTTAAGTGAAAAAAATATTTTTTAATTGTTTTAACTGTATTTGGTGTTTTATGTTTTTCTATAGCTGTAAAATTTTAATGAAAATATTTTGAATTTTATATATTTTTGCCTTGCCGCCAAGTGACAATTGAATTAATTAGTAGCGCATACGCATTAGGTAAGCGGCGCTCAATCGTCTGCGAAATTTTTTTTTTTTTTTTTATTTCTTAATTTGCTTAATTTCTTTTATGTATCGTTTTAGATTTATTATAGTATTTGAATAGAACTTACGGTAATCTTCAGATGATATAATTTTTGTGCACTCTGAGTCGTAAAATGAATGTTATTGATGTTAAGTGAACGTAGCACCGAAGTGTCGCTATAGTAAATAATATAGTGAACTTTAAAGGGTGCATTTATTCTATTGTGGTCTAAGCGCTATCGACGAAGTAGATTTAATTCAAAATTCGTTAATTGTTAATTCAATATGTTTAAATGAAATGTGGGAAAATTGCGTATAATTTAATATTTCATACAAGGAAGTCATGTGGTGTACACAGATTTTTTTATATATAAATTATAATAATGATCTGAAATAGTTATTTACTCTTATGCTTTCATTCTGTTATGTTAGCCTTTTTTATATAGATTATTATAATAAAAAAGTATTATATGAAATTAATCTTTCATCTAAATTAAAACAATAAAATCATAGATAGTTATTTACTATTACAGTATTTTCTTTCTTGCGTTAGGGTTGCCGCAATTATTTTTAGCAGCACTTGGCATCAGCAATAGTTTGGCGATTTTTACGGTCCTCAAAACGGAATAGTACCCATAAAAATACTAAACAGTTTGAAATTTTATATTATCAAATATTTTCAGTATATTCTTTCGTATCTTTACGAACTGTTTCTTTAAGAATAATGCATGAAATTGAAATACGCATATAGAATTGTACATTCAGGTACATTAGTTGTACATAAAGTTATGTTAATTTGTAACGTAACGCAGAACTTGCAATCATATGAAATGAGTCACGATGAAAATGAAACGATTTTTAAAAAAGTACCGTCGCAGTCACAAAGGTTTAAAAATACGGAATATATTATGCGTTTCGGCCCTGGAATAATGATAAAGAACGTAAAATGAAATAGAGGTTTATAATTCTCAAACGCTGAAAGGAATGAATATTATTTCAAGCAGATGACTTTAAAAAAGGTAATAAATAATAACACAGTTGTCACAAAATTTTGGACAAAATGTATAATTTTCTAAATACGTTTTGAATATATATGAAATTTCAACATCAAGCAAAATTAAGATTGGCTCTCGAAAACTTCAAAAATATTCACCCTAGGTTAACATTCAGGTAGACCAGAATTTGCAAACCAGAATTTTTACTTCCTTGTACGAAGTAAAGGAAGTATTGTAATCGCGAAAATTTCAGGTATTACATTTCAACGAAAATACCTATTTTGACCGCTATCGGATCCATCTGAACAATGTTTTTGCGATACATCTGTACGTGTGGACAAAATAAAGGACATTTTTTTTTTTTTTTTCCCAAAACGGATTCAAAATGGATTCAGAAGTGATTTCTTTCGTGACGTCTGTACGTAAAGTACGTCCGTATATAACTATATCGCATTACTCAAAAACGAGTGGCTTCAGAACGTTGAAATTTTGCACATGGGGATTGCTATAGCATACTTGTGCACCTCCCTTTCTGGTTGCAATTGGCCACACAAAACGTATATAAATTATATATATATATATATATATATATATATATATATATAGATAGATAGATAGATAGATAGATATATACAGACTCAGGTAACCGGCTTGGTGAGCTCAGTTTTTTATTCTCATATATTGGTTAGTTACACATTTTTTGCTTTAAAAGTGTTTGAATTATATTGTTCTTTATGTTCCGGTTTCATGCCTTTAGTTAATCTGCATGCAACAGTGGTAGAATTATCAACAATTTAAAAGTTTAAATGGTGCTAAGCCTAAAGAGCCGCCATTTGTTTACATTTGAAACTATTAGAATAAAAGTGAAGCAAGCAGTTTCTGCACCAACTTTAGTGCTTTTTTGCCAAGTGGGACCAAAAATAAACGTTTGAGTTTTGTGCACTGAAAAATCTGTCTTTTTGCTCGATGGCCGAATTGCTTGCTTTTGCGTTAGTTTCTTTGCAATATAATTTTTTTTAAACTGTTTTTAATTGTACTTGGTGTTTTAGGTTTTTCTGTATTTTAAGATTTTTAATAAAGATGCTTTGAGTTTGTATGTATTTTTGCCTTGTTGCGAAGTGAGTACTGAATTAATTGATTGAGAAATATCTCTCTAACAAAAATTCGAGGAAATAAATTTAAATGAAGTGCAACAAAAATATATATAACTTAATAGACGGTACGAGAAAATCATTTGGTGTCCACATTTTAGACATTTTAGAAGATATTTTAGTAAAAAGTATACATTTTGATATTGAATTTTGTCTAATTTGGAAAAGTTGCAATTAGTACGCTGTTGTTAATCTGTTAGTGAACTGATAACATACCTTATGATCATTCAAAAATTGTTGTATCAGAAGCTTCCAGTTATGCTCATCGTAGTTCACTTTATAATAGCCCACTTCCTGTATATTTGCAATAATCCAGTAATTTGGACCAGGTAAACCACTGATAGAACCTAAAAGAATAATCATTATAACACTGAAATAGTAATTTGAGATAATTTGTATACAAATATATAACAACATTACCTGTAAAAACAAAATTATATCTGGAATTATTTTGCATTTTATAAATATGGATTGATACAAAGTGGATTAAGCAAAAGCATTCTTAGCAAGGAAATTACAATCCAACCTCGCTGTAACGCATTTGCCTTGCAAATAACCTCTTTGAACGAACGAACTTTTTGATACCGTACAGACTCCTATGCACTTAATGTTATTTTATACTGTTATAACGAATTTCCAAGCGTATGAGTTTTGGGTCTATTTAATAATGGCAAAGCACTCGAGGGCTATCTGCCTAAGAGCAGAGATGCCTTCATGGAGAATGTTCTAAGAGAAACTGGCTCATATACATTTTACATATTGGGAAAACCACGAAAACACCTATGCAGCCAGTCCATTTGCTGCGATTTCGAACCCCGGACCGAATTACTAGTGTTCGGCGACTTTACAGCTCGGCCTCTGGTGGGGATAAGAATATGAAAACTGGTTTGGGTTTACGTGGTTTCCGACAAAACCTTGAGGACTATCTGCCTAAGGGGGAGGATACTTTCGTAGAGGACTTTCTAAGGGAAACTGGCTCTACACACGTTACATATGGGGAAATCGATGCAGCCAGCCCGTTCTCTCGGATTTGAAACTCATACCGAATTACCAGCGTTCAGCGATTTTACCACTCGAAGGCGGATGGGCCCAAGATTATGAAAATCGGATATAACGAACTACATGGACACCTCCAATTGAAACCATTTTCGCATTTTTCATATTTACATGTTTTTGTACGCTTCTGTAAAATAATCCACTTTTGCTATCGGATCCTATTAAGCGAACCATCGGAAATAGCGAACTAAACTTCCGTTTCTTGAAATTCGTTATAGCGGGATTCGATTATATTTATCACACAATCGTGCTTCCGTTCATTATTGTTACATTACAACACTTATCGCAACTACTCGAAAGAGTAAGTAATAGCATAGAGAGATTTAAAAGCAAACATTTGTGTCGCATGCATAATTATGAAAAAATTTAACTGATAAATTATGGAACGTAGATACTACGGATATAAAGTATTCTGTATACACAACAGTACACTACAACATATTATATCCTGCATACAGCAAAATCATTAACGTATACTATATAGTATTATTAGTGGAGAAGTTAAACAACGCGAATCAGCGTAATGTTTGTAAATTTTGCAGGACTAGTTTCGAAGGTTTAAACCCAGAACCATCCTCTTCAGCTGCCTACATGCTGTTGTTTAACTTCTTCAAATCGTTATTCAGCGTGTTATTTTAACCTAACCCATATTATGAATGAATAATTAAAATACACTTTGCACAAAAAGAATGAGACAGTTCTATATCTCCCATTTTGCTGCAACAGTTGACGAAATTTAATTTGCGTTTTTTATATCTCGAAAGCGCGATTTTGGATATATATTAGATTAGCATATAGCATTGTTCTAACGTAGGTATTTAGATACAAAATAGGACTTTTCTGAAATGATATTTCGATTTTACGACTCAAATTATGGCGAAATATTAAATTTTGTAAAATTTGGTGACAGACTTACAGACCGAGAAATTTACAAATTTATCTAGGCGCACATTTTTCTGTTTGCGCCAAGGATAATTCACTTGGCGAAATTTTTAATTTATAGCAACTTATTTTCCTCTCCTTTTTACCGTGCATGATCGGAAAAAAAAGGTGTACCGTTTATTCTTCCCAATAATTTTAACAAAGTGCGTAAACCCCATATGACATTATTATCGCTAGTAAGAAATATGCCAAATATTCAAAACTCGTCTTTATATAAATTGACGTATATCTTGAGGCTAATTCAGAAGTCAAACAACAAAAATCAGCGTTATACCTACAAAATTTTCACAGGATTTGCGGTTTTGCAGCTGAAGATGATGGTTCGGTAAAACCATCGAAACTAGTCCTGTGAAAATTTTGTAGGTATAACGCTGATTTTTGTTGTTTGACTTTCTGAATTAGTATTTATTCGGCGTGTTATTGTGTCTTAATCTTGAGGCTCTTTTAATAAAAAATTCTAATTGTTTGCAGGTATGCCTAGAAATCATCTACTCTAAGGTGATGGAAAAATTTTATAGGTTATAATTCAAAAACGGTTCTAAAATTATTTAAAAATACAACTTTTAAAAATTAATTAGAAAACATCTGTGAATTCTTTTTGTATTGAACCAAAATTTCGAACTGTATAAAAAAGGAATAAGGTAAGTTTGATAAAAAAATATTAATAAATAAATACATACCACATTCAATTAATATTGATGAGCTAAACTTTTGAGAGGTATTTTTTAAAAACAACTCGTGCGATTTTTAGAAAACTTGGCACTTTTGCATAATTTGAATCGTAGAATCGAAGTATAGAAAAAAGTCTGTATCTCGTTTCATAAAAAATCTGATTTTGCATCCGAATACCTATGTTAGAACAACTGCTATATATAAACCTAATACATATCCTATGTCGCGCTTTCCAGACATGAAATACGCAAATTAAATTTCGTCAATCGCTCAGTAGAACGGGAGATACACTACTATACCCACCCCTTTTTTATCATACATTTTACATATTGAGTGTACATTATAAATAGGGCATAGTATATACAGCATTATTAAATAATATACTTAAGATAATCTCTCTCGTATTTATGAAAGTGAAAAATTCCAACAGCTCACAAAAATTAGCAAGAAATGACAAAAATACGGATTTTTATACCTTACATATTGTTCATATAGTCTTACATATTGTTCATATAGCCTTACATATTGTTCATAAAAATCATTCAATGTAATTAACGGGAGAATAGTAATTTCCAAGCATTCGTAACATCCTTAGTCTAAGTTTGCTGTAGATGCATTTACTGTAGTAAAAAAGAACTTTAAACTGATCAAGCTGCAGCAATACGTTATTAAGAAGATCAGAGTAATTAACTGCTAGATGCAAGAGTGAAATCAACTTTAAAAAAACGCATACTATATCGGAAACAAAGATAAAAAAATCGACTACCGATTGCTGAGCTTTCCCACTAATGAATCTATCAACATCAGCATGCGGTGTGAGTTTACAGTCTGCATTATATAGGTATTATATGCTTGCGTTTGTTATGCATATGTGTATGTGTGTGCAGAACAAAAATAGATAATAAAATATTAATTTTAGTTTATCCGCTAACTATTCATTTTAATTTGGTTATTTTCCAAATTCATTTTAGTTTGGTTATTTCTTAATTTTATTTATTTCAGTTCTGAAAAATGTAGCTGCTTATAATAAACCCCTCTAAACTGCGTCATTTCAAAAGTAATCCATTTCATGTGATTTTTTTACATAAAGCTCAGATGCAGGTAATGTATATAAATGATTTAGAGAATGATAATTTTAGACTTTTTGACTAATAGAAATTAAATCTGAAATGAAACCAATTCATACTCAGCGAAGATTTCATCTTGAACACGCTGCACTTGATTTCTGTTTCTCAGTCTACCTAGACTGGTCCCTGCCTTCTCTTCTTCCGCAACATAAAAAATTGTAAAAAGGTCTAGGAAAAGCTCTTACTGCTTTAGCTATATAATGTTTCTCAACGAGAATAAAAAACAGTATTAAACTCGGCCATGACTTCAATGCTCCTTCGTTACATATCCACACTGCACTTCAGCATTTCCAAATTATTTCAACAGGTTTGCGTTTCGAATGCAGTCTTTTCATGTATATATATATATAGTTGACTTTCTACCACAGACTTAACCAAGGTCAGAAGACAGATAAGTTTAGGCTCTTTTCAACAAAGACATCAGTAACTTAGAGAACGAGGCCTGCGAGTCGCTTAGAGAAATGGATGAAATAAACCACAAAGGAAGTAGTTGCTTTTGAGTAGACAAAGGAGTCAGTGACGTCACTGACTTAGAGAACGAGGCCTAAGTGTCGCTTAGAGAAATGGGTGAAAGAAAGCACAAAGGAAGTGCTTTTGAGCATTGACGCAAGACCTCTTTGAGATGACTTTCTAAGAAACACTTTTCCCTGTTCTCTTAGGAAATCATGAAGAAATTTCATATAGCTGGTCCGTTCATCGTCACTTACATCATGCAGTGACGTCACACAAGGCCAAACTTTGTACTACAGTCATCTTTGACTTAATAGCAGCACGAATATTAATTGGATACAAGAAGTACGCCTCTGGACAAGGTGAAACTTTCTATTGGGTCCTTTTTTCTAATTTCTGTTTGAATTCTAGGGCTTTTGCAAACTTACGTAACATCGAATTTACATAAGTCACGCACTTCGTAAGTCCTGAGTTTATGACAGGCACATAAGGCTCCGTAGTGGTCCTTTCCATTGCCCAAATTTAGTTATATCGGCTCAAAACAAGAGCAAGAAAGCAGTACTCTACAAGTTTCAGCAGTTGTATTTGAACGGATTCTTGCCTCTTCGAAATTTGTAAGCTTCCACGTCGTTTGCAAGCTTACTTACTTTTCCCACGTTTCTCAACCGCAGATGAGTGAAACCACGGATACTGAATAACAGGTCACGGAGACACGACTGAATACTGTTCTGTTTTGCAGTACTGCTGAGGGAGCCTCTACTACGTATTGCTCACATGCATTTGCCATATGGCACTCAATCAAATATATGAAGCGGTTATTAACTTCAAACGAGCTCATCTATAATGTCAACAATGCAAAAGAATTCTGCTTTTATAATGGAGAGCTAAATGAAATTCTGTTACTTGTTTCCCAATGGCGAATTACTGTTGAACATTCTCGGGTTCCGATGAACGGGCCAGCTATATGAAATTTCTCCAGGATTTTCTAAGAGAACAGGGAAAAGTCATCTCAAAGATAAAGAGAACAGGGAAAAGTCATCTCAAAGATAAAGAGCTCATGCTGCTTTGCCATAATTATTTAACCAACCAGAACTTAGGCAATGAAACAACCTTGTATTTGGCGTAGATCTTACTATACTAGTTTGTTGCTTTGCCTAATTTTATGTTTTTTACCCAATGGCAGGTACTTGCCTTTAACGTCATTGGCCACTACTAAGGCCAAAAGTGATGGCCATTTTATTGTGGAGGCACCTAATAGGCGGGCACCGCTAACTGCAATGAAAGGACAGACAATTTTATATCCACGCCTTCTCCGGAATTCGAACCCGGGCCCTTCGGTATCGCAGTTAGACTCCCCTAACTATTCTTCTCCACCTGAAGTATAATCCCACAGTGCCCAGTATCATCTACACAGACTCAGCTTCAAGCCTCGCTGCGATAGCTGGAATTCGCAGCCCTATCGTCAGCATTAGAGACATTCTACCCCCCTGCCTACTTCGCAAAGACCCTCACTCATCTGGGTGCCCCTCATACGGGAATCGAAAGAAATGAGAGAGCAGATGTTGTCGCAGAGGAAGCAGCGGATTCATCCACTTTGCGAGAAGTCCCGACCCTTAGACCAGCCTCGGACCTAAAGAGTCGGACATTCCATTAGCTCCAAAGAATATGGCAAGAACGTTAGGATCAAGCCTCGACAGGGAGACGTGTTTACAATCTCATTCCCAAGCTGAAGACAACAATCCAAACTAATAGCAATTACATGACGTATTTCCTCACTGGTCATGGGCTCTTCCCTTCATACCTCTGCCGCTTTGGCTTAAGAGATAATGGTAAGAACGTTAGGATCAAGCCTCGACAGGGAGACGTGTTTACAATCTCATTCCCAAGCTGAAGACAACAATCCAAACTAATAGCAATTACATGACGTATTTCCTCACTGGTCATGGGCTCTTCCCTTCATACCTCTGCCGCTTTGGCTTAAGAGATAATGGTAACTGTAAATGTCGGGAGGAGGGTCATCCAGACTATTCTGTGTTCTCCTGCCCACACACAGCACGTAACAGCCTCAAGCAACCAGGAACCAGATTCTGGCCAAATTGGTTCCAGAATCTACAAAGTAACAGAGTTGCCCAGCGGAAACTGGAAACAATAATTGACTATTGTACTAGCAATTACTCTTCTGACGTTGGAAGATCGTAGCCATAAAATCTATATAAGCTCGTTCAATATGTCAGCAACAGAGTATGTGATATGTATGTTCAATATGTAATTTTGTATTTATGCTGTGCCATTTTTTCATACACAAAGTTCGTACTGTATCTGTACATGTTTATATCTTTTATTTATGGTACCGAATTTATACTAAGGATCACGCGTACCTCAATGGCATGCTTCATGTAAACTTTAAATATCATGATAACTTATATTGCATAGATGTATATATGAATATGAGTGACAGTATGTATACTTTTATTTCTTTTGGAATATATATGTATGTAAGTGTGTATATATCTGTATCTGAGTTGGTATTTATATGTATATACATATATTTTGAATGTACTCTTCTTCAAGTGCCTTGTATGCACATGTATATTTCTTTGTACATTGTTGTACTCTTCTGCAAGTGCCTTGTATGTACATGTATATTTCTTTTTTGCATTTTATAAATGTCGTCTGCTCAGCCGGGACTGCCCACGGCTGTGGTTTACTCCCGCTAAGTTGGTAACCAATTCTACATGGATGTTTCTATACCTGGGTAGGAAGCCAACTCAGCGGTTTACTCCCCTAACTATTATACCGTCTGGGCTGCGTTTAATTTTTATGTTTTACTTTATGCTTGGCATAGATTTAAGCCAAACATACGGCTGTTGCTTTGCCTAATTTTATGTTTTATTTTGATATGCTTACCTATCTTATGCTTGGTGTACATACGGCTGTTGCTTTGCTCTGGGCCAAACATACGGCTGTTGCTTTGCCTAATTTTATGTTTTATTTTGATATGCTTACCTATCTTATGCTTGGTGTACATACGGCTGTTGCTTTGCTCTGGGCCAAACATACGGCTGTTGCTTTGCCTAATTTTATGTTTTATTTTGATATGCTTACCTATCTTATGCTTGGTGTACATACGGCTGTTGCTTTGCTCTGGGCCAAACATACGGCTGTTGCTTTGCCTAATTTTATGTTTTACTTTGATATGCTTACCTATCTTATGCTTGGTGTACATACGGCTGTTGCTTTGCTCTGGGCCAAACATACGGCTGTTGCTTTGCCTAATTTTATGTTTTATTTTGATATGCTTACCTATCTTATGCTTGGTGTACATACGGCTGTTGCTTTGCTCTGGGCCAAACATACGGCTGTTGCTTTGCCTAATTTTATGTTTTATTTTGATATGCTTACCTATCTTATGCTTGGTGTACATACGGCTGTTGCTTTGCTCTGGGCCAAACATACGGCTGTTGCTTTGCCTAATTTTATGTTTTATTTTGATATGCTTACCTATCTTATGCTTGGCCTACGCCAATCACATTGTTGCAATCACGCAAATCCAATTGTTGATTTGCCTGGTTTTATGTTTACTTTGGCGTGTTTACCTATCTTATGCTTGGTGTAGATTAACTCCAAGCACACGTTTGTTGCTTTGTCTCATTTTATGTTTAACTTTGGCGTGTTTACCTACCTTTTGCTTGGCCTAAGCCAAACACAAGGTTGTTGCCTTGCCCAATTTTATGTTTTATTTTGGCGTGTTTCTCTTCTGTCAGCCAAAATTTTTAATTGCTGTTGCAAAATTTGGTATATGAAAGACAACTTCCCACATGGAGCAGCATCCATTTCTGCGACAACAATTTTCGCGCACAGTCACGCATATGTTTATAGGCATGCTACTTGGAACATTATTTTCAGTTAAAGCGAGACTTTTATATGTTATACCAAAGGCTTTGCCTCCCACAGCAAAAGCTTTTAGCAACTTCAAGGCGACTTAACGAGCACAGTTGCTACAATAATCCGGAAAACATAAATAAGCAATGTGGATTGAGACTTCCTATCATTTGGTTACTTCGCGAGACAGCAAAATGTAGGCATTGAAATTTATTATAATAAGTATGGGGAGAAGAAAGAAAAACTTTGATGATTTTCCCTTATAGTAATATTGCAACCCAGTAATAACTCTAATGCATATTTCCTGAGATGAAGTCCCAGCTCCGTCATTTTAGAAATATTTCATTGCAGAAAAATATTTTCACGTCATATTATGGAAACAATTTGCAGCAAAAATAGATATATTTTACTTGATTCCAGGATTTATGTAAAATACTGAAACAACTATTAAACTGCTTTCAAAATTAGCTTTCAAACATTTGTTTGATAATTTACCTGTATACAGAGAAATATTTTTTTAAACAAAGATAAAAAATAAGACTTAAACAAAGTTCGAAAGTTTACACATACCATTGGTCTTATGTAGCCAAAGTTTTGTTTTAGGCTCCCAGTCGGGATTCACAGCGTCTGTATAAGTGAATGGAATTTCCCATTGATAACTGAAAGAATTCAAAGATATAAATATATATGATTATAACACTTGATGATATTTTTAGAGCAGCTGTCATAAATTTACATGAGTACATAGTATCAAAAGTTTAAGAGATGATTACTCTCCAGAATAAAAACGCTAACCTTTTCATTACACAGTATTTGAAGATTAATAAAAATTTCAGTAAAAATAAATATATATATTTTTAAGAAAATAAAAAACTCAAAATAATTTGTATATGAGTGAGATATAGTAGTGGTCTTCAAACTGTTTTTCGAGGAACGCAAGGGTTCCAGGAGCGCAGGAAATATCAATAGACTTCGACAATTTGTGTAAAAAAGAATGCAGGCAAACCCCTGTCGCTATATACCTATGATGCAAGGGTGTAGAGTCATTGATTTATATAGAAGCAGGAGACATGAAAAATGAGCAATGCCCTCGCCGGGACTCGAACCTCGGACCACTCGAATACGCGTCAAGTGTGCTGACCATTACACCACGAAGGAATGCTGAGAACATGAGAAAAATACCTTACATATCCCCCTTTTAAAGAACGACTGGGGATTAGGGGACTTAGTCCTCAAATCTTAGTGGTGGACAATCATCATCCACCACCTTTTTTACTTCGGGCGCCACTGTACAGTCACTAGGTTATTTAGAAGCAGGAGACATGAAAAATGAGCAGTGCCCTCACCGGGACTCGAACTTTAGACCTCTGGAATACGCGCCGAGTGTGCAGACTATTACACCACGAAGGCATGCTAAGAAGGCGGGAGAAATACCTGATGTCAACTAGAGCATGAGCATCTGCTATTAATGAATAAATTACACTAATATTATGTCAAATATTTTTAATATAATATACAATATTTTTTTATTGTCTTTACACATAATATCTGTAACATGTTGATCTACTTTAAATATTATTTTTTAATACATTTTCTAAGGGAAAGGGGTTCCCGAAAAAAACCTTATAATTGTAAAGGTTCCGTGAGTCGACAAATTTTAATGACCACTGAGATACAGTAATTCAAATAAATCAATAATTTCTATTGAATTGATTATTTTTTCTACATACTAGTAGATTCTAATCACCAAAAATGATTAAATTTAATTCCATAGAATTAAAACATGTAGAATAAAGCAAGATAAATTTCAGTGATATATTATATTCAACACACGAAAACAAAATTATTAAAATTTAAAAACACGAAAAATATTTGATAGTGTTAAACTTTCTTCTACCATTGCGGAAATATAATCCGTTGAGTAAATAAGTTGCTTACATATCAGAGTTAAATTATTCTTAATATTAATATGCTGTTATTTAGCGTAACGAAAAATGAAAATAAAACGAACTTAAAATTTATAAATGAGAACAAATAAATAATGAAGAAAGTAATTTGAATTATTTATTCAAAATGGAGAGCTAGTAATAATTTAATTATTAATATCAGCTGGCTACAGCCAAAGCAAAATCTATAAGTTCTATGTGCACTTAAAAAGAAAATGTATTAAAACATGAATATGAATGAAATCAGTTCCTTCTTTTCAAGCAACAACCAATTCTTAAATAATTTTCCTTGTTGCCAAACCAGGAAACAAAATTTTTTGAGACTTCACGTACGCGTATGACATCATGATTTAAATTTAATTCAATATCAATGAATTATCAATTACTTAATCGCTTTTTCACAATATCAATGAAAGAATTAGCGTAGCAGTAACATAGCGTGTCAGTTATCCTCACCTGAAATAAAAAAGTTGCCAACAGCTGTTATTTATTTCAAATGCTGACATTGTAAGGATTTTAAATTTTACTAACGTCTATTTTATTCTAAAACTTTGCTATCTTCTCTTATTTTCCATTTACGGGCAGAATAAACGCGAACAGTTTTGGTTATACAAACTGAGCTTGCAAACTGTTAAGTATATTTAAGACATGGCTGTTAGCCAAGAGAGAGACTTCAGTCAGTTCCAGGTTAAGGCCAGAACTCAATTCTCTTTGATACTTGAAGACGTATTGCAGTTTCCCGCATTCTGCTCACTACATACGTGGAGTTTTAAAAGGCCCATCTTCGCGTTACTAGTCTTTGTAAAGTGTCTAACTCTAGTTCTTATTTAATTTAGTTTCTTTTATTTTTGTTTAAGTTTCAGACCATAAATGTTGGTCTTTGTATTCCGAAGTGCGGGATCGGCTGTAGGTTGGAAGAAATAAAGGGTAATTTAACCCTCGCCATTTTTGCCGTATCTTCTATACTCACACGAACACAATTTTAAGTAAATTCCCTGTTCCTCCTAAGAACTCCAGTGATGTTCCCAAAGGCTATTAGAAGAAACAGAAGTCCTGACAACATTAACGAAAAATTTTCGACATTTAGTGATGTCAAGTGCAATCGCGTGCCTTCTTCAACGTCAGAATATGACCTTGAGTTTTATCTGCAGCCAGTAAGACTGTTGCCACTCGGAAAAATGAGTGCGAAAATTAGCGCTTTCAAAGTTTTTAATTAATATCTCGGCTGACTAAAGTCGTACGAAGATGAGAATGGTCGAAATGGCTTCCCGCGAATTTTTGAAATCCGGGGAGGGGGTACCTCTCTGGAAACTAACTCCCCGCCGTTCAGGAGGAGATGATGCCACAACTAACAAACAAAAAAACAGACAGACATCCACAGATTTTCATAATATAGATTCTTACTTTGTTGCAGACTCGTCGTCGCCTTTCTCCAACAAGAAGCGATACTGCTCTACTGTGGCAGTTCCAGCAGAATAGTTCCTGATGACTCTGACTACAGGGTATCCAGTCTGCAAAGTCCAGGAATCCATGACGGTTTTCACGTCGATGCGGTTTTCTTTGCTTTGCGCCTATCGACAGAGACATTTATCACGATTTTTGTATCTTTGAAGTTGAAATTCAGAATCAACAAAATGGTTTCATTTCATAACAATGTCTCGTCAAAACTGGTGGCACCCTTATGCAACTTGGACATCCTTCGAAAAGGCAGAGATCTCCATGAAGGTGCCCAGGCATAATGATGATCAGCTATGAAGATCAGTTACTAACTTGTGAAAAGTATCTTTCATAGAGGTACCGCTACTTTTATGCTGGGGCACCAAGATGCAAACATAGTTTCTTCAAGCTGGAAATTAATTAAGCATAAAGGTGTCACCATTTTTATTCCAAGGCACTCTTATGTAGGTGTTTGTCTTCTCAAACAGCGGCTGACCGTGGAAAAGATGCCAGCACCTTGACAAGAGACCATTATGAAAGTGTATCAGTAACAGTAACTATTTCATTTTTTATGACAGAAACTCCCTTTTCGAAAACTATGAAACGTTATGAATGTTACCGTGCATTTATCATCTATGTCAGTGATGGCGAACCTATGGCAGGCGTGCCGACCTCATCAGCCGCTGGCACGCGAATAAATATTATTTCCTTAATCAACAATCACAATAATATGATATTATGTAATTTAAATAAGTGTTTCATATAGTCTGTTCTTAAAAGATTCACTTACTTACTTATCGCATAATGCCACTGGCATACGGCCTCATATATCGCCATGGAAATGATATACATATTTATTGACCCAATTTATGACGTTTCAGTTGTTTGGGCCAATCATATTACTTGTTATTTGGCAAAGAATATGAAAATAAAACTAAGTTTTTGAAGCAGCTAATTATTGCTAAAACGAATTCATATTTATTACAGACTGCCGGTGACTTTTAATACTTTCATTGTTAAATGGATTCCAGTTTTCAAATCTAAGCATTTTGAGGTAACTTATGAATAATTCTAACTTAATATTTTAAACGGAATAGCACGCGGCCATCACTTTGGACGCGCGGCCCCAAGAAGGTTCGCCAGCACTGATCTATGTGCTCTAGAAAATGCTGCCACTGCATGTATGGGTTTACAGTCACTTTTTATGGAGCCATGCAGTCAACGCATAGCACCATAAAAAAGACTGTTATCTCATAGGTTACTAATGATCTTTAGCTTAATTTTAGTTAAATAATTTACCTAAATTTAATGCTTTGCTTCATACCAATGACTGTCAAACAGCAGTTGATAACATTCGATTTAATTTACAATGGCTATTTGCATATGTTACAGACAATTTTATTTTTTCAAAAAATCGTCTACTTGGAACCTTTTTTTAACTGCAACTCTGTTTTTGGAAGTATACTTTATTTTCCTCTTACTTAACAGTTTTGCTTTTATGCAAAATGGCGTTTTTTAAGGAGCAGTGGACGGAAGGCTGTGTTTCTGCTCTTTCCGAAGAAAATTATTCGTATCTAGTTGCTAAAACTTGCTGTGAAAGCCGCCGTTTTTCGGTATCTAAAGCAACGATAGATAACATTGTCAATAACATAGGAAAAGACCATCAAAGTTCGGCTTCAAGTGAAAAAAATTGTTCCAAATACATACCCACGGAAAAACCGGAATGTTTCGAATGCTGCAAAGGTTCCAAATCATTGACATTGCAAAATCATTACAGTGCTCAGTGTCAACTGAAAATAAAATGATTAATGCTGATTTGAATTTTAAAAAAGGCAAGAAAACACAATATGCACCGTCTTTCTCCACGGCATATCGCCGACACCTGTTATGAGAAATATTTATTCCGACAAAAATGGAAAAATGTTGCCACAATACACGAATCCTGGATGTATTTAAATGACTGCAATGAAAAGAGATCCATTTATTCTCATCAAAGAGGAGAAAAAAATCTTAAAGCATGGTTCAAAGGATCTATAGAACGTTTTTCAAAGGTATTTATGACTATTGCTTGTTTCTCATATAAAGGCAAATCAAAAGTAGAGAAAAGTATTAATATCAATTCCACATATTATAAGGAACATATTTTATACCCAATTTTTAAATATGAAATACCTTCTCTTTACAGACAATGTGATTAATCTGTAGATCTGCATCAAAACAAAGCAAGCAGCGACAAATCAAAATCCACTGGCAATTTCCTGGAAAAAATGGAACAAGAAATGGGTATCAAGACCATGTCCTTGGCTCATATCCCTATTAAATCTCCTGATGTATCACTCATGAATTTTTGCTCTTTTGGACCTTTCAAAAGCGGATGGTCCAAACGTCGATCTACAACTCTCCTTTTAATTTGGAAAGCTGTTCAAGAGGAATGCCTCTTCCGATACAACAAACAACTTTACTGTCTCGAAAGTTACGTTGCAGAAAGATGACGAAGAATAGTGGTAATCAAATAGAAGATCTAAATCACAAACATTTTAAGTAAAATATTTCTGTAAATGCAAGGAAAATCGTCTAAAATGGGCTAATACCTAATAGCATAGTCACAATGCTAATAGCATTGTGAAAGAAGTGTCTGTACATCAAATTAGCACCATACGGATAATTTTCCACCATATGGTGCACTATCATATGGATGGATTCATATGAATATACACTATCATATAGATTTTATACGTATGGTAAGTATAGCATTTATGACTACATTCTTTATTGAATGACATTCTTTATTGAATAGCACTAGTATTTACGTAAAGAGGAGTTAAGGTCGTCGAATAGCTCTTATTAACCCCTTCGCGCCGACTGTCACGTATACGTGCCAGTAACGAACACACATATCTACCGGCCGACACGCAGGCGTGCCAGATCATTGTTGCGTTTTCTACCGAGTGTCACGTATTTGCGCCAGTACCTTGGAACGTTTTTCAAACTATAATTTCTGCCACAAGATGGCACTGTATGTCCATATGGTTTCAGATACATGTACATTAGACCTTCTACTTGAAATGAAAGAAGCATGACTCACATACACGTGCTTTTGATTATATAAACAAACGGGGAACTAAATGTTTCCGAATGGCATGATTTATGACGTCTCTTTAAATCGCACTTTATTCGCACGTGGTAGTTGTTTATTGTAAGTAGAAGTTTTATATGCGCTAAAGTGTTGAGTATTTCGGTTTACAGTTCAGTTTTTAGAAAATAATTAGATCTTGTTAGACGTGAATTCTTTCTGTTTTTACCGTTGCAATGTCGAAGCGTCGAAAATGTTTAACAGAGCATGAAATAGCAGAAATGATGCAAAATATTTCAGATATTGATTCTGAAATTCTGATATTCTGATATTGATTCTGAAAGATTAACTGAAAGACATTTTCCAAAACTTTGTTCAGAAGAGACTGATAAGAAAATGAGACGACGGTGCTTCGTTTGTTCACATTCCCGGAAAAATCCTCCAAAACGGCAAATGAGTTATTACGAGTTCAAGGAATGTAACGTAGGACTGTGTGTAGATCCCTGTTTTCAAATTTTTCATACGAAAAGAGAATTTTAAGTAATATATTTAGTTTTCAGATGTATAATGTTAAAAGTCATAAAATGGTGAGTAATTAAAATAAAATGTGTAAAATATGCATTTAAACAAGAAATAAGGTAATTAAAGTATGTATATAAAAAATATCTATAAAGCATAAGCCGTTTAAATACTCTATAGAACATTATTAAACAATGCGTTGATACTTCGGAGATTTCATGGATTTAGGCTTAGTAGCAAAAAAAGCCCCCGGCCCTGGAGAGACGCTCGCGGAAGACACTGCCGGCCTCCGCGATAAGCGCGCGTTTTCGCTACCCGGCTCGAAGGGGTTAAAGTACAAATAATATTATTATGTAATTTACGCAGTCCTCGCTGAACAATCCTAATTTGAACAGCCGAACGAGGGATATTCCAAGGTCAATAGAAAAGTAAGGTTAGACTCTTCCCAATCCCAACCGGGACGGCAAGAAGCCACTTTAAGCACATTATGAGTCAGTGACGTCACACAAGAGTAAGCCTTGTAGCACAATAACTTTGGGCTATTCGAAACAAGGATTTCAGAACAGTCTTATATGAAACAGCTTGATGTATCCCGTAGAAATGTTACCAGACATATAGAGTACTGATTAACTCTCATGCTTCTCATAAACCCTTTTTATTAAATCGTCTTTTCGATATTTGTGCCATTTCTTACTGAAGTTGATCTTAACTGGCCTCTGGCTTTTATTGAAAGTTTTTGTGAAAATTTTTCTTAAAAAAGTCTGTAGAGATATTAGGTATATTTTTGGAAGCAGGGAAGAGGAAAATAGCAACCGCCTTCGCCGGGAATCGAACCACGGACCTCTGGAATACCGGCCCAGCGTGCAGAACCACTACACCACGAAGGCATGTTAGGAAAGTGGGAGAAATACCTTACATATTCCACTTTCTAAAGGGCGACTGGGGTTTTCAGGGGACCCAACCGCCAAATCCTGGGTGTGGAGAAACCTCATCCAACACCCTTTTAGTTCGGGCGCCACTGTAGAGACATTAGGTATAATTTTAGAAGCAGGAAACATGAAAAATAGTAACCGCCTTCGCCGGGAATCGGACCACGGACTTCTGGAATACCGGCCCAGCGTGCACAACCATTACACCACGAAGGCATGTTAGGAAAGTGGCATGTTAAGAATACCGAATACATTACAAAAAATACATGTAAAATGTTTATGCATATTTTTGGTAAAAGTTTTTATGTTGTATAAATACAAACAACGTGTATAAATAGATGGAATATTAATCCAACTATATTTCATGCATTTGCATTAGTTTTGAATCATAAAAGTCAGTAATTTTTGAATTATTCGCATTCAGGCAAGAAGTTTTTATTATTTACGTTGCAAAGTGTTACATGTATAGCTCTTTGAAAGGCCATTTAAAGTGTATAAATAGATGGAATATTAATCCAACTCTATTTCATGCATTTGCATTAGTTTTGAATCATAAAAGTCAGTAATTTTTTAACTATTCTCATTCAGGCAAGAAGTGTATATTATTTACGTTGCAAAGTGTTACATGTGTAGCTCTTTGAAAGGCCATTTAAATACAAATATCATTAAAGCCGTCGAAATGAGGGATAACTTTCCATTATAACTGAAACTTTATGCATGATTAAAGCTATATGAAAACATGTTATGAAAATGAAACAAATACCGATAAGTCTTACAGATGTCAGGTGCTCCCACAGATCATCCTGGACTGCATTATCGAACTTCTTGGCATTCAGGTAGTTCTAAAAATATATCGAACAGAAAATCAGTATGTCAGCTCTTTTCATTCTAAAATCGTTTAATGAAATTAATGGTTACATATTAAAGCAATATTAATTCCTAATGAAAAGTCACCAGGAAAGCGAAGACATGCTTTGTGATGTTTGGCTACCAAGAACATTGATCAGTTAAATAAACAAAAATTTGTATTCATTATTATCCATAAAGATAATAACTTACGCAATCTAGTCCAGCAAAGATTAGTCACGTTGGATTAGGGATATGTCTTCAAATTTGGAGTGAAAAAGACGAAGGCCATTATCAAATTAGCACCATACGGATAATTTTCACAATACATAGTCACCATACGATAAAATGAGGATTATTGGACATTCTGGTATGATCTACTGAAGAGTCAGTTGGATTTTATTGTAATATTAAATATTTTTTAAAAGATTAAATTATTTTAATGCTGTCATTATTTAATGGAGTTGTTTCATTATTTATTTCTTATATATTCTTCATAAATATTTACCAAATATCTCTCTGATTTAGAGATCAATTTCGCATTCAAAGCACGAAAACAAGTGCAACGTCACTCCCCCCCCCCCCCCCCCCCCCGTTACTGACATCCATAACGTTAATCGATGTTATTTAGATACTCAACGATTTTAAAAGATTTCTCATTATCTGAAATACAATATTCTTTTATCTACTGATAATTTGTTCAATATTGATTATAGGTTATCAATATGCATGGTTTCCGATATCGATTTTCTATATATGTGACTATTTATAATGTTTCTGTTTAAACCATTCTCATGAATAGTTTTGGATATAAATTGCTTTTTGTTGAGTATCAGGTTTACAGTTTTCCTTGAAACACTAAGGTTCTTCGTCATCGGGAGTTTTGGGAGAAATAAGGTGGTTGAAAATATACGGTACTTCATTAAGCCTGTCCTCTTTTTGGTACTTTCTTATTAGTGAGTCTCGCAAAATTAAATCACTCATAAACGGAGATATCTCGCCAAGTGCTCTTATACTAGCCTCGTGTTTCATTTTTGCTAAGATTTTCAAATTCTCGCTGTTTTCATTAAATATTCCTTCTTTTTGTTTGTGGTCAACAATCTTTAATTTACCAAACAAAGATAATTTTTTTAAGAAACAGGTCTTTTACCTGAAAAATGAGTATGCGAAAATAGCCACAGCAGGAAACTATATTGTTGCGTTCTACGGGTTCGTGGATTAGGAGTAACTGATGATAACACTTGATGAAGAATCAAAACATAATTTATTTGTTAGTATTTCATAGTACAGTTTCAAAGACACGTTTATAGTCGCCGAAAAACTACGATAAACACCGGTGAAGACAGTTTCACGGCAAAACACCAAAGTACAGCTGCCGACTCAGTCGATCGCTCTCAAACTAATCTCTGAACTCAAGTCACTACTGCTACACTACTACTCTGCACTCTCTGTGTACATGCAGGGTATATATAGCGTTTTACCTACCTTCGAGAATATTCTGGGGGAAAACTGGTAAGCATTCATTCTAGAATGTTCTCGCTCCGTCTATGATATATCCCCAATTTTGTCGCCAAATGGGCAATTTCTCGCCAAATCTGGCAACCCTACGTTTTTTTGCCACTTCCTGGCAACCATAATACTTCTTTGCGGAGAAGCTATCTTACCGCAGCTAGGCATTTCGTAACATTAAGTTTACGATGATTATTTTGACGAAATCATTTGGACGTGTGATGTTAAAAATCGTAAAAAGAAGAAGGGCCTTCGTGTTGAAAATTGGTTTAGTGGTTCCAAAATATCGTCGGTCACTTGTATTAGATTTATGTATTCCTGGGCACAAGAGCTGATGTCCATCAAATAATGTGACAAACAGCTTAATATGTGTGAAAATTCTGCAATGAGATGTATTCCGATGACCTCAAAGATCACGTGACTTACATATACCTAATATAAATAAACATTGTAGTTCACATGACTTCTGTATAGCTAATGTAAGTAAACAAGTTCTCATTCTTCCTCTTTTTCTCTTGCGGCATGGTATCTTATTGACTGGAACAATTACATTCGAGAAATGTTACTGTCTGAAGCAAAGATTCAATGGTCGAATAGGCTGTACCAATAAAATAGTTGAAATCGATGACAATTTGTTTATCCGACGTGAAGAACATCAGCGGCAGAGTACTTCCACGACAGTTGGATATTTTTGGAAGAATATACCAGGAAGATGGAAGTGGCATGTCGTTCAAATCTCAAAGACAAATGCTAGTACACTAATAGAGAAAATTATTTAACACGTGCAAGATGGGTCAATGATCTATTCAGACTGCTGGAAGGGGTATAAAACGGAACAACTCGAAGAATTTGGTTACAGGTCATTTTAACGATTATTTAAAATATTCTTAGCAAGCAACATCTGAGTTTCTGATTCTCACGCAGCTCTTACTAAAATGTTCCTAACTTAAGGAAGAAAACCTATACAGTCGATGTCGGCTGGCTAGAGAGTTGATGCAGATGATATCCTGTGACTAAATTTTTTTTTCCACTTTCTAGTTCCGATGTAGTTATTGTTATTGTAAACAGATTATTTACTGATTTGTCTTTTACTAATTATATTTTTGTATTTATGTTGATGCTCCAATCTCACACATCTTTGATGCATGGAGTCAATGACATATATAATAAAGTGCCTTTGCAATAAAAAAAATTTTCTGGTCCTTCACTGTAGTGTGAAATACAGTTATCATAATTTTTTATAGGGTTCCTAGTAAATTAAATTTATTTTAAGAATCTCCCTCTGGTAGAAACATCAAGAAAAGCTATTTTAGATTAGAAACAAAAATTATTAGTAACATTTACATTAACATGTTAACTGAAGAAAATACATATAAACTGTCAGTCATAGCGTAAAATGTTTATTACAGCACTTACTTAAACTAATAAGTTGATTACTGTTATTATTTTAGATAAAATATAAGAATTGTGAATTTCATTTCCATTTGTGAACTTTAAAAGAATGACTTTTGATTTTCTACTAAAAATAATGTGAATAATTTTAATTTAAAATTATTTACCGTTAATCCAGTGCCAAAATCCTTATCACCTAAGAAAAATTTCATCATTCTAATAATTGATGCACCCTATAAATAAAAAAGAAACAAGCTATAATTCATACAATTAAATGACAAAAAGAAAAATAACCACATTTTGTACCTCTATGCATGCATGTTTTATTCAAGAAATGCAACTTTCTGCAAGCAATTATGTTTTAAACAGAAAATTTGAGAAACATGCATTAAGGTGCAGTAAGAGTTTAAACGTAAAAACAAAAAATATTTAATTTAATTAGAATGCTAGTAGGTGTCATAATGTAAGTTTTTTCCAAGCACATTTCTTTAGAAGGAATAGCTATTAAAAACTCCAATAGTGTATAAATAAAAAATAAGAGGAAGAGGTTTCACGGTGCTTCAGTTTCATTTTCTGAGTACACAATGTTTCCCCACCAAGGTATATATTAAATTGTCTCAGTGGCGAAGTGTTTAAGACCTACAACTTTAGCTCCTTAATTTGAGAATTCGATCCTGGCTCACAACTAATGAACTGGTAATTGTGATCAGCAAGGGCGCCCGGATGCCTCCAAGTGTGCAAATTGCGTAGGTCCACATGTGTCCTGATACGGTGGTTGCTTGAAGTTCCCAAAGGTCAGAAAATTAAAATCTTTTTTTCCAAGTTAAACCTAAGCTTTGCTCAGTCACTGAAATTCACAAATATTTCCTCAGAGGTTATCAGGACTTGTATTCCTCTTTACTTGCTTTGGAAACATGAACTGTCCTGACTCGGAACAGGGAGCTTACTAAAGCTATGTTCAATAAATTGTGAAGTAGACAATACACACAGGAAGGGTGTACGAAACCCTTTATTTTTCTATCTTTACAGCGATTTCCGGAACTTCGGAATACAGAGACCAACCACTTGTGGTCTGAACATAAGAATATAAAAATACTAACTAAACTCTAACTAACTACTTGGATTAATATACAAGTGCCTAACTTCACGATTGGCCGTTATTTAACAAAAATCCGTATGTAGTACAGAGAGCTGCTAAAACTACAATACGTTTAAAATTATCAAGAGGATTAAACCTCTGGCCTTGAAGGCAACCAGCAAACGAGTAAAACTACTACGGCCGGCGGCCTGCTTCTAACTCCTTCCTCTCTCTTACTTGCCAAAAAGCCACAACTTAAGTACTTGGCGTTAGCAAGACAAATTTGCATAAATAAGTTAAAGCTTTTAATTCTGGCCGGAAGTAGAAAATAAGAAGTGATAGTAAAGATTTAAAATAAAATAAACGTTAGTAAAACTTAGGATCCTTACAAGGTGACTGTCGTTACGGGACATATTGCAAATCCTGTTACCTCACACAAATACCTCACAAACCTCACAAAATGTTCCAAGCGAACACACATCCCATAATCAGGTTTAAAATACCAATATTCAGTTTCAGTGATATATCTGAACTTGTATAAATCCTAACTGAATATCAAAATGCATTTGGCAGAAACATTTGTCAAGTCATCCGTAAATGTAAAAGCAAAATCCTTGAATTTTAAAAAAGCATGTGTGTGCCTGAGAAATGTATATTCTATTTCAGATAGTTCAGGAGGTTGAAGGGCTATCGGCCTGAACTTAAATTGTTCTAGGCTTAAATTTTATTTTACCTTAACACTGTATTGTAAAATATTGTTTTGGGGTAGGCCTGGGCTTTCTGGGCTCAATTTACCATAACTCTCGCACTCTAGTTCATTGAACTATTCTCTTGTACATATGAACTTCAATTATTTTACTTTTGAGGTTTGTATCTTGCTTTCAGGCATTCCGTTTCTTTACCTGCTCCGCTCTTTTTGTTTGCTCCTTCTGCCCCAGGCGGTAGTCAGGCTATGCTGCTTTACCATCTGTCTCTGTTGGCTCATCTAGTGTGTTAACAAATCTACAAAGACTTTACTGTTCTACTTGATCATGCCAGTGATTCTGCTTGTGCTTGGATTTTGGTTCGTGCCATGTGAAATATTTCAGAAACTTACATACGCTCGAAAATTGCTATAACTGCGATATGCTGGAATAGCGATAAAACCAAACACAGCGTTCACCAGATCCGAGGGATATATTACTGTATTCAGAGTATGGAGAATAGATACAGTGAGATATGGAGATAGACAGTGAATGGAAATATAGATAATAGATGAAAATTTGTAATTTTGATAACGGTTATATCGGTGTCCTGGTATAGTGGCAAGCGGATCCTGGCTGCCAAGGCCAGAAATCTCGGGCTTGAATGCTAGACCATGATCATTTCTATTGTATCTTCCTTGACGTTTTCCGTCTATCCGTAGGTGGTGTAATAACGCCAGCTGTTTTCAAGCACGTTCATTTAGAGCGAATAGTTACTGAAAATTCCAATAGGGCCATAAATCAAAGAGAAGGGAATGTTACAATTGCTTTCATTTCATTCTCTAAATATTTTAAGATGTTTCCCACTATGGCCTCTGTCACCAAATAACGTTCTTTTGCCACAAACCTTCAGAAGTCTTGTGTATTGTTACTGGGGATGTTAAGATGTTGTCCTCTCGCAAGTTATATTTATATAGCACCATCAAGACAGGCAATCGCCATATGACTAATAAACGAAGATTTTGCAATCTTGTATGGATTATTTAGAAACCTTGATATGGTAGTTGGCGGAAACTGCCTCCCAAATCCATAAATCTTGAAAGCCTTGAATCCCGGATCATGATCATTTCTGATGTCTTTTTCATCGCGTTTTCGGTCTATTCGTATCATGGAGGTAGAAAGTAAGAAGGAGTCGCCCTAAACAAGTTTCTTCGTACCCTGCTCTGAAGCACCGGCGATCCCTACGTGGTGACCAAAACATTGGGTCATTTACCATTGAGTTCTATGGGATTTGACGCGTTCGGGTGTAAATATTTTGTAATTACGTCGCAAATATACATATAAATGTATATATTTTCTTTTCTACAACACTTCAGAGTCCTAAGTATGTGAAAACAACATTATTTTTAAACGACATTTCATTCTGAACGGAATTAAATGCTATACTTTTCTCAGAATGGTTTTAATTTGAATGAAATATTTTCACAAGTTTTCGTTAATTACATTAGAAAAAAAAAATTAAGGTAGTTCGATTTTTCGGTTAAGGTACAAAAATTAAGATCAAAGTTTATTGTATTATTAATATTAAAATTATGCGTTATTTCTTTTCTATTTATAGAGCTTCTTCCTAAAATACTTTCTTAAATATGACATTATTTTTGGCTTCTTTTAAATCGAAAAATGTAAGTCAATTTATAATTAATGCTCTATTCGGTTCATTTTAAATTAGAGAATTATTAGGAATTAGCGAAATACTTTAAATAGTACTTGACTTTCTCTGAACATTTCTGAAAGGGAATAAAATAAGTTTTTTTTTTTAAGTATTATTTAAAACTTGTAACTGAGTTATTATAAAATATAAAGGGAATAATTCTTTTAATTATACTTATCAGATTTTTTTAACCCTCATTTCAACAATACATATTCCAAAACTCTTTATTACGTTCTTAAGTGCGCATCTTATAGCATTTGCTTTACAATACCTTTTAACAGATTGCTTTCCAGTACGAACAATTCTTGCTTAAATAGTTTATAACGTATTTGTCACAGGATTTCAATTTATGTTTACAATTCAATATTAAGGTTATTATATATTAGATAACATTTATAATCATTATACATAAATTAGATACATTTAATCATTAGATTTCTTCACAGTACTTTCACGGTTGTTATAAGTGAATAAATTCTTCATTTCAAATACATTTATAAATAATTTAATGAATATTTAAGTATTTTGTCAAAGGCAGATACATGCTTTTTGCAAGCACATGCATAAATACCCATATATATTTCCTATTTATCATTTTTCGTCATGTTGCAAATCTTTAATATCTTTGCATTCACTATATTTTTTCGTGTAAAGTAATTTACACTAATTTAGCATACACCCGAAAGTTTTACATAAAAAATATATATGAATATAATTTGAATGAAAATTATAAGTATTATTTTTAATACCCACTCAAAGGTCAGTTTTCTTCAAAATTCCTCCACGATGGCATCTCTCTCTTTAGGCAGATAGCCCTTGCATGCGTTACTCTATTTAATAAAAACTTAATCTGACCTATGTGCCTAATTACAAATATTTTAACATACATAATTTTATATTTACATTTAGCCATCAAGTTCCAAACTTTTCAAATCTGCTAGAAAATAAATTTTGGCAGATCTCTTTTAGCAATTTTCTTAAAATCTATATTTTTGTAGTGCAACAGCTTAGAATTTTATAAAACAAATTCATAATCAAAATCGCTGTTGTTAGTTATCGAAAAATAACCAAGATGTGATTTTTGCGTAAATGTCAGTAAACTATACAAATTGCTATTATCCATCACTCTATGAATGTTTCTTTCATGCGAGATTGTCCCTTTTTCGATTTCTATGGAACTGTCGTGTGTCGAAATACTATCAGAATCTTGTCAAGCGAGCTTCTGAATGTAAACAAAGAACACCCCGCCTGGTGACCCAAGCTTCAAAGCAATGCTTCACTTCTAGCGCGGAATGGCCCCTCCTCCCTTTCCTACCTCCATGATTCGTATGGATGCATCTTATGCAACTCACTCCGTAATGAGACTAACTAACTGACAGGTTTGGCTATCAATCTGTGAATGTCCAATCGGGAAATGCAAGGTTGTTTAAGAAACACAACAGAATTCTGGTTAATGTTTCAAAGAACATTTGGAGTATATCAAGCAGTATTCCAAAGCGAGAGAAATGGCATAGTTTTTTAAACATAAAGCAGAGAAAATGAAATTAATCAGTATAGTCAACTTTAAAATAAAAGGGAATAATATTTTATAGAAAAGTTTGAAACATTAATTTGTGCATGATTTGTACATACACATATCGAATATGGATGTTTCGCTTATAAGAACGCGAAGCGTATACAAAATAAATAAATAAATTACCTTTTCGTAAGAAATCCTGTCAAAAATCTCGTTGATTTCGTCTGGATGCCTGACCGGAATTGAAATCGGATGAGATGTCTTTAAGCAATCCAAATCCATGACATCTTGCAGATCTTCCAGGACGAATTGCTGATCCATCATCCACTCCGGATGAACTGCATTGACACCCAGGTATTCCACGTAGCTCGCAAAACCTTCATTCAACCACAAGTCGTCCCACCATTTGGGAGTTACAAGGTTGCCAAACCACTAAAACCAAAAGCATAACGTAACTCTCACACAGATGCAAACCATCATAAATGTTTAGCATTAGTATCAACAGCTAAGACAATATTGCAAAGAGATAACTATAAAATGTTTAAAAGAAATTAATGAGGATAATATATTCAGTGTGATATAGAAACATTAGGATTTTGGGGGGGCAAGCAGGAGCAGGGAAAAATGAGCAACGCCTTCGCCTGGAATCGAACCATGGACCTCTGGAATACACGCCCAGCATGCAGAGCACACTACACCACGAAGGCACACTAAGAAGGCGGGAGAAATACCTTATAGTCAAAAAGCTTAGTGACATTCTTCAGTTATTAATTATGATTTATTTAAAGCCTGTATTTTTTTTAACTAACCATACATAAGTATTTTATTGATAACTTTCGCTCGTTTCCTCGATAAGAGATACAAAATATAATCGAAAAAATAGCCTTTCTTGTTGATGAAAATGATAATTCACTGTAAAATAAAAAATGCAGATTTTTGACTTTCATTCGAAAATTCTTTTCACATGTGCCAAAAAAAATTATGAAAAAATTTTTATTATCCTAAATTATTGAATACTAATTTCTAATCTACATTCGAATATTTCCTTGCTTATGTAGAACTACGAAAAATTTCTTACCGTCTTAAATTGTCACAAATTACTTTTTTATTTACATTCGAAAATTTCTTTTCAAATGTAGATTTAAGAAGACCTAAGAAAGAAGACTATTACAGTTTTGAATTGTCATATTCTAATTGTTAATCAGTATTCTAAAATTTCTTTACAGACATTCAAGAATACCTACAGAAGAATTGTTACTGTTCAAAATTATCAAATACTAAATCGCTAATCTATGTTCGAAAATTTCTTTACATATTTATAAGAAGACCTATAAAAGAATTCTTACTGTCTTAAATTATCATTAATCTATGTTCATAAATTTCTTTACATACTATATTCAAGAACACCCAAGAAAGATTGTTACTATTAAAAATCATCATATACTACCTATTAATTTATATTCGAACATTTCTTTACGAATACGGTTTTAAGAAGATCTATAAAAAACCTGTTATTGTTCTGAATTATCATATTCTAATTGTTAATCTACATTTTAAAATTTCGTTACATACTATATTTAAAGAGACCCACGGAAAAATTGTTACTGTTCAGAATTATCAAATACTAAATCGCTAATCTATGTCCACGCTAATTGTTAATCTATCTTCTTTCGAAGAATTAGAAGGAGACCCAAGAAACAATTTTTACTCTCTTTAAATTATCAAATACTAATTGTTAAGCTATATTTTAAAAATTCTTGACTTATGTGCAAGAAGACCTACGAAAGAATTATTACTGTCTTAAAATATCAAATACTAATTACTAATCTATATTCTAAAATTTCTTTACATCTACAGAAAAAGACTTACGAAGGAACTATCATTGTCTAAATCATCATATACCAACTGCTAATCTAGATTAAAAAAATCCTTTAGTCTACACAAGAAGATATGCTACAGAATTATCAATGTTGCCTGAAATTAATCTATATCGAAAAATTCTTTACAAATTTTCAAATAACCCTGGGAGAATTAAAATCCCATACTATAAACAGAATGCATTTTAACATGTAAAAGTTCTTTGAAGCTCCTGTATTAAGACTTGGACAGTAGTTCTCGTCCTGGTAACATAGAGTGCATATTCATTCACTAACCTTCAAAAGTATACGAATGCACTGTTTATGAGTGTAAGAGAGTGAGTTGTTTAGAAACCACATGTAATTCTTAATATTTCGGCATTTCTCGATGGCAACAAATATTTTAACACGTATTTGTCTGCATTAAAAGATGATACAGTTCTATATCTCCCGTTCTACAGGGTCGATTAACGAAATTGATGACTTGCGTTTTCATATATCGAAAGTAAGACTTAGGATATATAGCATTATTCTAACATAGGACATTTTGACACAAAATCGGACTTTTTTTTTAAATGATATGCCTACCTTTTTCCATATTTCGATTTTACGATTCAAATTATGTCAAAAAGCCAAGTTTTGTAAAAATCGCAAGAGTAGTTTTTTTAAAAAAATTAGCTCTTAAAATGTTAGCTCCTCAATGTTAATTGAATTAGGTATATATTTATCAATATCTCTTCTTTTTTATCAAACATATATCATTCCTTCTTTCACAATTCGAAATTTAGGCTCAATCCAAATAAAATTCGCTGATATTTTCTGATTTATTTTTAAAATTTGTATTTTTTGGTAATTTTTATGAATTTTTCAAAAAGTGTTTTCGATTACAACTTATACAATGTTGTCTAGCAACTTAAAATAGACGTATTTCTAGGAAAACCTGCAGAAAATTAGAGTTTTTTTATTCAAAATTTCCCGAGATATATGTGACTGTATATATCGGGGTGTTTTGACATTTGGCATATTTGTTATAAGCGATAATAACGCCAAATGTGGTTTACGCATATTGTTAAAATTATTTGAAAGATTGAACGATGACCTTTTTTCGTCTCGTGCACAATGAAAGGGAAAGGAAAATAGGTTGCTATAAATTAAGAGTTCCGCCAAGTGACTTATTCTTGGCGTGAATTGGAAGAAGTGTGCCAAGATAATTTTTTTAATTGCTTAAAGTTTCCCATTAAATTTTACAAAATTTAATATTTGTGCATACTTTGAGACGTAGAATCGAAATACGAAGAAAAAAATAGTACGTCATTTCAGAAAAGTTCGATTTTGAGTCCTAGCTTTGAACAATGTGAGGTATAAATCTAATATATATTTCAAGTCGCGACAAGATCACGTGACTTATGTATAGCTAACGTAAACAAACAAGGTTCTTCTCTTGCGGAATATATCTCATTAAAATATTGCTAAACTGTCGTACTTATGTGTTGCATTTATTACTTCTAACCACGTAAATGAATCATATAGTATATAATTGTATATAATGTAGCATATAATTGGCCTTCTGCGTAGGTATATCCTTCAGTTTTTGTTGAAAGACAGTCCAGAGTAATTTCCAAGGAGTACAGAAAGTTCGTTTGCGATAGGTCCAAGTTGGCTACTAATTTCACGTTTGCATATTTTAATTTAGACACCACGAGTGGTGAGGTAGAATTAACTTAAAGCATTTTCATTTTGTGTCTGTTTGTCTGATGGTTTGATACTCTGGCGGTAAGAATTCACTGCACAGATCAGACGTAAAGAAGTAAAGATCAGACGTAAAGACGTAAAGATCAGACGTAAATACGTAAAGATCAGACGTACAGACGTAAAGAAATCATACAGATCAGACGTAAAGACTTATTAGACTTATTACGACCATTAATGGTAATGAACATTGTGATATCTGGCGACTGTTTGGCGATCAACAGAGCATGCTTGGCGCAGGTAGCTCTTCTTCGAGAAGGGTTAATGTATTTATTAGGAGTTGCATGTTTAGCCTCGGAAGAGGAAGGTAGTAGATTTTACTATGCGGTAGGAGCGACATACTGCTCTGAGTAACTATTATATTATTATTTGAATTATTATATTTAATAAATGTTTGTTTCGTCTTGCTAAATGGTGCCTTGTTAAACCACGAAGTCATCACAAACATTATGAAGTTAGTTGGAACCCATAACAGCTGTTACAAATTTTCTCTGGAATGATCGTACTCAACTACTTGCATCTTACCTGATGAGCTAATTCATGAGAGATGACTACAATGACACGTTGCTTGTTGCTTGCTGATGAATACCTTGGATCGTACAGCAATGCAGTTTCTCTGTAAGTGATGAGTCCCCAGTTTTCCATAGCACCTGCATTGAAATCTGGTATTGCCACCATATCTGCAACGAAACACAAAAGAATACATTTAGGAAACAAATCTCAGTCTGCCAATTTTCTTACATCTATGAATTACACAAATGAGAAAATTTCATAAAGCAACCGATTTTCAAGCATTTTTGATTGACAAGACACATAATAGCTAGAATCTCATGATCTAGATGCATCAATGATGTATGATTGTTATGTCAGCTTCTCTTTATTTAATATGTTGTTTGCGTTTCCGCAGAATTCATCAAGAAGTGATTTGATGCATACTTTGATTACCACTTAATCCAGGCATCATCTAATCCAGCATTCTGCATTTTAAGGCACTATAATCATCCTATTGTTTCTCACTGACTTTCTCCTCCTCTCTTGTAAAACAAGGAAAGAGGAGTTTTGGAAAAAAGAGAGAAGAAAAAGAAAAGTGAGAAAATGCCTTGCGCATAAGATTCCAAATTGCCGTAATCGTGGTCAGTACGCAAATTGTGATAATACTAATATATTTCTTGATTTAGTACCTTTGTATTCAGCTTAGAATCATTTTCTAATGGCGTTGAAAATGGAAGCTAAATTTTCTTTGCACTAATACATGGAAATATTATGGTTATTGACATCTAAGATACATCTAAAAGGACAGTACTGAAGAATCTAGATGTTTACTTTCACGGTAGAACGTTTTATAAATCTATTAAGGTATGTTGTTCACAAATATCTACTTATCGAATATTTTCTTTTCGGGAAATAATGCATATCGCTTACAACGCTTATACGTACTATACAATATACGTATATTATATATATATGTGTATGTGTGTGTGTGATGTACCAGCTTTTGTCCGGAATAAATAGATTGGTGAAGAAATATAGATGTAGTCGTAGCTTAAATTATCAGACGATAAGTTTAAAAAACAGGATCCATTTATTATGGTGATTAGAAGAAATAGCAGTTACAAAAATCATATTTCCGGGTAAAAAAAAAGAAACTAAAAACTTTTTGCATGAAGTTTACTGCATCGTTCGTAAAGAAGAGACCCCGATATTACTGCGAGTCCTTTTATAGTCTCTGGAAAGGGGAGCTTCCAAGAAATGATCAACCTCGTCAGCCATTCCAGTCGCTTTAAAATATCCAGAAATTCTATAAAATTACGTGTAGAAAAGGGGGAAAAAACAACTTGACTACGGGCGTGGATTTATTCCATACTTTCAAATAAGAGACCGTCGCTATTAAAAAAAATGAAAAGAACATACAGTTAGAAATTTAAGTGTATTTTTGACTATGGAATTTTATTATTACATATATATATGAGAAAATCGTACCAGACGATAAAATATGAATCCTGAAGATTGTTTTTAATACAATGTATTTGTTATTGAACAAAACGTATAATACATAACGTTAATTGTCATGAATTTAAAATACCAAAGTCTGTCTGAAGGACAACTTTATATTTAAAGAAATTAAATAATAAAGAATTTGTATAAATGAATGCATATTTTCCGCAATGTGAAGAAAAAACTGCACTTAAAGCCATCAGATTTTGAGTAATGTAGTCCTCCACCCGAATATGGACACCTGGAAGCCAGAATTTTGAATTTCCAATTTGCTTTATTGTGTGTGTCATATTTTGTAAAACTTTTAACAAATTTTTGATTAACAAACTCAACAATTTCAAAGCGACCAATGTAAGGAATAAAACATTTTTATCTTCAGCGCGCGAGACTGGTCAATCGGAATTCTAAAGCTATGCTGTTTTCAAATACTTTATATTATATTTTAAATTTTATAAAACTTTAACAAATTTTTTGATTAACAAACTCAACGATTTCAAAGCGAGCAATGGCAACATTGTACGGGAAAAAACATTTTCATCTCCAGGATGCGAGACTGTCTATCGAAAATTCTAAAGATAGGCTGTTTTTAAATACTTTCAGCAAAAAGGAACATTAACCCTAATGCTCTCGAAACGTTTATGTATAGGTAAATGGAAAAAACACCACTTTGGGTGTAATATAAAATCTGAAAGCTTTCAGATTTTTTTTAATTGCAACTTTTTTTAAATCATGTAATTTAGTTGATATATTATGCTACGCTGACTTCTTAAAGTGTTTGAAACACCTTCACATTTGTTTAAATAGCGTGAAGTGTTCTTCTGAAACTCCTTTCAGGATCATTATTGATGCTTGCATATTCAGCTGCGTCACTCCAGCTACACAAATCGGATAAAAGGATATTTCCTTTCCACTGCACCCAGTAAAATATCAATCGTGCAGGTTTCGACATTAAATAGCTCCACCTGCAGAAAATGAATATGTATTTTCACGTGCTAATGGTAAACTTCCCGACAAACAAGCTTGCAAACTGAATAATTTTACTGTCATTAGCTACGGTTGCGGGTACGAAACAACCGCAGTCATTCTTTTAATGTTTCAAGAAACTAATTATTAATGCTGTTGCACGTGCTCTAATTTACATCACATGTTTCTGTATTTACAAATGGTATTCTATTAGGGGAGATAATTAAGTAAATATGGGATGTTAAGACCCGGATGTAATATGATAAACTATTTTTGTTTCATTAATAATTATTTTAAGTATAAATAATAAGTATGGCGGACATTTTTTGGATTTAAAATATTTGCAATAGTAGTATGGGTTTTCTCGCTTTGCGATTATTACCTGAGTTACTTAATTAAGATTACATATGCTGCGGTAGATGTTTGCTTAAGGGGACAGATGCATTCGTGGAAGAGTTTCCGAGGAAATTTCTTCTAATTGGCTGATATTCATATTACAAATGGGGGAAAGCTAGGCAAACCTTATGCAGCCATCCCATTTATTGAAATTCATGTGTGCGGAGCATTCCTATGAAATTTAATGCAATTAGAAATATAGAAAAAGCCCAAAAAAGTTTGATTATTGTTCTTGTTTTTGTCGGGCCTATGATAAAGCCTATTCAAATAAGGCCATAGGCGTGTATGACAGCCCTGCATTCTGCAAAATACTATGATCGTATATTTTAATCCCTTAAACTAAACACGACATTCATTTTTACTTCCTTGTACGAAGTAAAATGGAAGTATTGTAATCGCGAAAAGTTTCAGGCAGCATATTTCAACGAAAATATCCATTTTGACCGCTATCGAATGCAATTTACCGATATTTTTGCGTGATATCTGTACGTAAGGGCAGAATAAAAGATTCTTTTCCTCCAAAAAAATTATAAAACTGCTTTAAAATTAATTCTGAAGAGAATTTTTCTCGTACAGACACGTGCGTACGTACGTACGTACGTATCTCGCATAACTCAAAAACGAGTAGCCTCAGAACGTTGAAATTTTGTATATAGGTGTGCTATAACATGTAGATGTACACCTCGTATTTTGGTTGCAATCGGCCGCACCAAACGTATATAAATATACTTATACATATATCCACTCTGTTACCCGGCTCCGTGATCTCAGTTTCTTTACTCTTAATGTTTGCAAATTGTACATTTTTTGCTTTTAAAAGGATTGAATTTTATTGTTCTTATCTTCCGGTTAAGGTTTTTATGCCTTTAGTAAATCTGTATGCAATAATTTTAGAATTATCAACAATTTTAAAGTGCCGCTAAGCCTAATAATTTTTTTGATGGCGGCCATTGCTTGTTTACATTTGAAACAGCAGGATAGCGGATTTGTTGCCAATCTAGAGAAACTTAGCTTCGCAACAACAACGATAACGCCTTCATTTATTATTGCGAATAAATCATGCTTAATCCTTTCTGGAATTTTTTTCGAGGAAAAAGTGTTTAAGATTTACTTCGTAATTTTTAATACAGATATTTTGAGTTTTTATGTATTTTTTGCCTTGTCGCGAAGTGAGAACTGAATTAATTTTAAAGAGAAATACTCAATCGTCTGTGAAAAACTGTTTTTTTTTTTTGTTTTGTTTGCTTAATTTCTTTCATATATCGTTTTAATTTTATTATAGTTTTTGAATAGAACATAAGGCAACGATTAGATAATTCTTTAATTATATAAATTTTGTGCATTCTGAGTTATAATATGAACAAAATATAATACTATTAAATGAACCTAGCGCCAGAGTGTCGCTGTGGTAAACAAATAGAATGAATTTTAAAGAATGCATTTATTTGTTTATCTATTTTTGTTTATGCGCTATCGGCGAAGTAGATTTAATTCAATCCAATAAGTTTAAATGAAATATAAGGGAAATTGCGTATAATTCAATATTCCGTTCAAGGAAGTCATGTGGTGTACACAACAGATTTAAAAAAAAAATGTAAGAATTCACAGTAAAATCAAATATATAATAAAAAAATCTGAAAGATTTCAGGTTTTATATTACGCCCAAAGGGGCTTTTATTAACGTTTTGTATGTTACCTTTATAAGGTATTCCTCCCGGCTTCTTAGCATGCCTTCGTAGCGTAATGGCCAGCACAGTCGGTGCTTATTCGAGCTGTCCGTGGTTCGAGTCCTTGCGAGAGCACTGCTCATTTTTTACCTTTCTTGTTTCGAAATAACCTAATGCCTCTACACCTTTATTTATTAAATATCATGTTCTTCGCACTTAAATCATAAAATTCAATTCCACAGCAATAGCACAAAATATTTAAAGAGCACATCTTTAGAAATTCTGATACACAGTCTCGTGCGCTGGAAATAAAAATATCTCCCCCCCCCTTCGTACAGTGTTGCCAATGTTCACTTTGAAATCGTTGAGTTTCTTAATCAAAAACTCATAAATGCTTTAAAAAATATGAGATAGATAATAAAATAAATCCCGAGCTTTCAGATGCCCATATTCGGATGGAGACATACATTATTCAAAATTGGATGGCTCTAGGTACCGTTGTTTTATCACAATGCGAGAAACATACATACATTTATGCAGATTCTTCATTATTAAATTTCTTTAAATGCAATACAGGGCGATAATATTTGGTGGCAACAATCTGAAAAGTGATTCCCCGTTTATGGTGAGTCGGTGCTAAATGCGAAAACGAAATTAATAACTCTTTTGGGCTAACGTTCTTTCGGCTAACAATTCAGCGAGGATGGCCGGACAATGAAAAATCCGTGTAGTTGTCAATTCTACGAGTATGTCCAAGCAGTTATCACTGTTTCTGTAGGTTTTTTTACCCTCTATGTCAATTTTCAATAATCTTTGATGGCGCGTTCTAAGCCTAACTATGGTTTCGGTTGTAAGTCGATATCCATTGACGTTATGGAGTAGGTGCTTTATTGGAACTGAATGTTCCTCCAATCTTTATTTGGCCAAGGCATTTGCATCCGAGATGGTGACATTTACGCTATTATTATTGTTGAAATTGAGCCTCTTTTGCCAGTTTATCTGCATTCTCGTTACCTGTGATGTTGGCATGCGCTAGCAACCATTGCAGACCATATCTAACTTTTGAAGCTCGTTTAGGCGAAACTGGATTTCGTTGGCGATCGGGGAGATACAATCCAGGATTACCTGTCCAGCTGTCTTTGAGTGACAGAGGCGAACGACTCCTTTTGCTGGCTCAGAAATGGGAAGGGATCTAAGGATGTCAAGTGCCTCTGCTATTGCCTGAAGATCGTAAGTGTGGTTAGCCACTGTGGCTCCAGCGCCAATTTTGCGTTGATAAGTAGTATCGCCTGGGATAGTCAGAAATGCTCCAAAACCTCCATTAGTGATTATCTCATCAGAGGAACCATCTGTATAAGCGTGTACACAGCTATCGTTTTCGGTCCTGATCTCTTTCGCTTTATTGATATCAGTCAATTTCTTTCTTTTGTAGGTTAAGTACTATTTTAGAGTTCGTAGGAAGCTTGGCTTTTGGATGATGGGAAATTTGTCGTGATCGAGGCCGAGAACTGCTCCACATCTTTTTCAAATAGCGTTTGATTATGCTAAAGCCTTTAAGGAAATCTGTTGAACAAGACCAAATAAATGCATAAAATCTAAAATTTCCTTGAATGCAAGAACACTGCGAAAAATCTAAAATTCCCTACGTAAGAAATAATATTACGTAGGAAATTAAAATATTGCCTACGTAATAAGAAACATCCTGAACAATGATTGCTATCAGAAAAGGTTTAATTAGCAGGCACACCAAAAGGTTTAAAGATACTAGCAATGATGCTGTGCAAAGCTCTAATACTATGATATAGAAGGGACCGCCTATAGCAGGGGTTCCTAGCCCTATGCCCGCGGGCACCATGACCTTCAGTACTACAGTTTACTGTAAACTTTCATCGGTTTGCCTTCCACCACACTTCAAATCATATCATCCGACTAAACAACAGTTAGCTTCATTTCATTCTTTTTTTTTTTCGTGCACTTCGTTTGCTCCTCCAAATTGGCTCTTGATCAAGAACTAAATCATTTAAAAGCAGTGGTTATTGACAGGGGCTTTTCATTACAATCCCAACATTATTAATCAAGCAATTTCAACATTATTAATCAAGCAGTTACTAACTCTCATCCCAACACACCAAAAGGCATACTCTTGTTGTAGGAGATTATAAGAATTATGCTGTCATTCCTTTCTTTTGATCAATTAGCTATAAAATTGCACGTATTTTACAAAAATTTAGCTTTCGGCTCGTTTATTCTCCTATCAATAAAATTCCGAGTTTCATACTCAAATACTGCATTCCGGATTTGAATTCCTGGGGTATTTACAGAATTCCATGCCAGTACGGTTTAATTTGCATTGGTAAAACTAAGAAAGCCTTAAAATTTCGTGTTAGGGAACCTGAGCCATGTTAGAAAAAGGGAAACACAGAAGTCCCCTGTTGCCCAGCATTGTTGGTCCGAAAATAACATTTTCAATTTTTCTGCAGCCAAATTATTCAAAAAAACATCCTCCATTGGTGAATTAGATTTTCTAGAGGCGTTTCACATTCAAAAAAGTCTTTCTGTTCAAGTTAAGGACCTTAATTCGAATCCATCTTTGTCTTCAGCTTTTAAGGAAAAATGCTTTAGTTCTGGTTTCATCAACAAATGGAGCCAGTAACTTGTCTTGCCATTCTTATCTTATCTAATCCTTATACAGTCTGTCTATCATAAGAAAAGCTCTCGCCAGTTAGTCTGCAGCTCTCTGCTGCCGTAGAAACGAGCCTTGACCCATTTTCCGTACGGGTGTCTAGAAGACGAATGATAAAATCTTTTCTCCTCAGTCAACAGTCGCCAAAAAGAAAATAATAATAAAGCAACACTTGGTTCGCCCCTATTTGAAATATACTAGCCCTGTTGCTATAGCGACCACCACCCGCCAGACACTGTGGCTGGTCTTTTCTTCTCGTAGACAGACAGTACCTTATCTCGTTCATTTGCGCTCTGGCAGGTGAGGATGATGGTTCGGTAAAACCATCGAAACTAGTCCTGTAAAAATTTATAAATATAACGCTGATTTTTGTTATCTGACTTCTAAATTAATAGTATGATAAATTTAAATTTATATTAATATAAGACTAAAGACATATTTAATATGCTGAGTGTACACATTTATACAATACATATATATTTAGTAAGAAGTCAAACAGTTAAATGTATTAGAATATTAACTTCGTAACTATTACTGAAACAGCAGCTACTAACTAAATTCTTAATTTACAATTCGTTAACTTGCTTAACATGAAAATGACGAAAGAAATAGTCTTACCTGTTTTTGGTAATGGATACTTGACATTGAAAAACGATTCATAAAATTTCAATATTTTTGGTCCAACTTCTAATGCGTATGTTGATGTATTTAACACTGCCTCTCTGCTCCATACAGAAAACTGGAAAGAAAACTCTGTTAGTATACAGTAGTCTTAAATATATGCGATGATTGAATTTTAAAGCTTACATTCTAGATAATTAACCACGATTTCCTATTCTTGAATAATAATTATCAGCCTTTTCTTCCCCACGCCCTTCAGCCCACCAGCGGCCGAGTGGTAAAGTCGCTGAACACTCCGAACACTGGTAGTTCAGTCCGAGATTGCAATTCTGCGAAGGGGGCTGGCTGCAACGGCGTTTTCGCGGTTTCCCTCATGTGTAACGTATGTGCGAGCTAGATTCCCTTAGAAAGTCCTCCACGAAGGCATCTCTCTTCTTAGGCAGATAGCCCACGAGTGCTTTGCCGTAGTCAAATAAACCAAACCAAACCCACGCCCTTCCCGCCGTATGTCAAAATGTTATTTTCTCTATTAGTGTTTCGATTAGGAATGCCAAATCGTGAATATTTGCGTCATTTAAACTTTTTTGTATGTGGAAGCACATGTCTATGATCACCGGTTGTGAAAATAAAGGTCGTATAAGGACTGGGGCAGGGGATATGCATTCTCAGAAAGACTTGTCACTTTCAGAATATTCTCCGCAATAAAGTTCACTAAATTTGGAATTTTATATTTGGAACTACTTTAAACCTGAAAAATCATTTTTTTTTAATTACCAAATCGAACATTTCATGCGGTCTTAAAAATAAACGCATTATAAAAAATTAAACTTAAAAAATTTGATTCTCATGCGACAATTCCGTTTTAAATTATTCCGTTTCAAAATTTGGGATATCTGACGTCATTTCTAGCCTGCACTGAAAGGTCGATTAATTACCAGCTGAAACCCCTTGCACTAAAACTGAGAAACCATTGATTAGTTTCATTGGCTTGTCCTATTAAATGCATGAGTTCTCTTGTCTTTATTCACGCGCAACGTGAGTAAGATGAAAAATTAGAAAAATCTATTACCGATGGCAGACAGTTAGTTCTCAGCGGCTTAAGAAAAATGAGAGGAGAAAAAGTGCTTTCTTTTCTTTCGGCAAAGATAAAGTAACAAAACTTTAGGTTATTTAGGGCGAGACCGTACTTATTCGTTTTGTCAAAGAACAAATTCCTTTGCCTATTTAAAAACAATTGTGTAACAATGAGAGCTCTCTCCACGATCCATAAAAAGCATTCGACAAAATCTGGCACATCGGGACCATTTCCAAGCTGCCCATCTTTCCTGGTGGACAGTTTAAGAAATACCGCATGTGGACACCATATGACTTCCTTGTACGGCCTTGTATACATTATACACAATTTTTTTAAATTTATTTTAAACTTATTTCCTCGAATTTAATTACAGATGTATTTCTCATTCAATCAACTCAGTTCCCACTTCTTGGCAAAGCAAAAATACATAAAAACTTAAAGCATCTTCCATAAAAACTCTTGTTGTAAAAACATTTTTTACAACTAAAATTACAGTTTCTATGCAAAAACAAACAATTCGGCCAACAGGCGGGAAGATAAAATGTTTGGTGCACAAAATTCAAATTTTAGTCCGACTGGACAAAACACATTAGTTCGCTGGTCTACCAAGCGTTTCAAATATTAGCAAATGGCGCATCGCCACTTAAATTTTTAAATTGTTGACAATTCTACAACTATCGTTTGCAGATTAACTAAAAGGCGTAAAAACACAAGAAGAACATGATTCAACCACTCCTGAAGCAAAAAAATGCACAGTTTACCAATATATAAGAATAAAAAGCTCAGCTCAACGCTCATACATATGTATAGGTTTCATGCGGCCGATTGTAAGGAGAAATGGAGGTGCATAACTAGATGTTATAGTAGTCCCATATTTATACATATATATTTTTTTAAATATGGGAAGTACTATAACATTATATATTATTATTAAAATTATATATATATATTTTTTAAAATATGGGAACCGTGGAGCATTAAAATAAAATTTTAATGGTTACTTGTTTTTGAGTTATGCAGGTTATATAAATAGGTAGGTAAGTACGTAAAGATGTCACAAAAAATATCTTCCGAATCCATTTTAAATCCATTTCCTAATCCGTTTTGAAACAAAAAAGAGACCTTTATTTTACTCGTACCTACAGATGTCACGCGAAAACATCGTTGAAATGGATTCGAGAATGGTCAAAAATGGATACTTTCGTTAAAATATGATACCCGAAAGTTTTCGCGATTGCAGTACTTCCTTTACTTCGTACAAGGAGATAAAAAGCGGAAATTATCTTACGATAGTTGGCAACACGTTTCTGTATAGAAGAAAAAAATGACTGACGTGCCAGAAAGGATGCATTCCATTGAATACACTTATTTATGACTTATACAAATGCCCTAAAAGTACTATTGTAAAACATGCAGGTGACGTTACATTTAGCAAATCTGTAGTTGCAATTGATCGATCACAACTACGCTTTGGTGACAATCTAGCGTTTTAAGTTTCTATCTGACCCTTTTACGTGATTTACTACAACTAAGCTTTATTATATAGCTAGGTTCACTAGCGGCCACTAGCGGTCCACCATCAGCCACTAGCGGTCCATCATCAGCCAAGATTTAAATTAAAAACTCTGAAAATCCTAACTGTCGCCTTCATTTTTTAGTGTGACAACAGTCTCGCACGCTGGAAGTAAAAATCTGTTTTATTTCGAAAAAGTGTTGCCACTGCTCGTTTCCATATCGTAGAGTTTGTTAATAAAAATTTGTAAATTTTACAAAATGTGAAATAAAAATAACATTGCGGAACATTAAATATACTATTATTAGTCATATTCGGACGTTGAAGAGAGCATGCGATTCCATGTGACGTCATTGTATGTCGAAAATGTTTCGTTTATGTCAGCATTTTAAATAAATAGCTGCTGTTGGCAATGTTTTTGTTTCAGATTAAGATAACTGACAGAGTATGTTATTGCCGAGTTAATTCTTTTATTGATACTGAGTAAAAGTCGTTATATTACATTAAATTTAAACCATGACGTCATACTTATACGTATTTAAAGTGTCCAAAGTTTTTGTTTCCTGGTTCGGCAACAAAAAATTATTTATGGACTGACTACTGTTTGGAGAGAATGAAATGAACTCATTCATACTGAAATGTTTTTATGCACTTTTTTTTTGCAGATGTAAATACATGTGTTGCTTTGGACGCCGCTAGCGACTTTGTATACGATACATTATATTCATAATTCATTTGATTCATATTTCCAATTTTTCAGTATATAGAATCTAAAAATATTAATTTGGCTCTAGCCAGCTATTACCTAATAAAATGCAATCCAAAATTTCATATTACAGACCTTTCTGTTCATTGCAACAGCAAATTAAATTTTGTCTACAAACGATCAAGCAGAAGTGATTTCCTTGCTTTAAACTTATTGCTATTTAAAATGTGGAAATGGCGAGAAGTCGTATATTGGCCACATCAGAATTTTTTTCGTATTTTTCTCTCTCATTTTTTTAAAAAGCTGAAATATATTATTTTTACAAATTCTTGATTTGGCGCTTATGATACAGAAATAACATAAAACGATATTTTACTGACCTCTGGTGTGCCTCTACTTTTGAAGTCACTGACGATAAAAGCCAATAGATACGTTGACATTCGAACTGTAGTTTGAAAGTAATCAGCAACCCAGATGTCGTCTCTGAAAAACAAATTTTTTGATTATAAATCAATGCTTCAAACATCACTCGAAATACCAGTTCCAGTAGAGAAATTATGGTACTATTCGGTTTCGAGGGCAGTAAAAAATCACTAAACTATTCTCGATGCCAAAAATAATTGCGGCAAGAAAGGAAGTATAATAGTAAATAACTATCTAAGATGGATGTTTTAATTTAGATGAAAGGTCAATTTCATATAATACTTTTTTATTATTATAATTTATATGAAAAAGGCTAAACATGACTGAATGGAAGCATAAGAGTAAATAACTACACTCATGTCCATAAATTAAGGATAATTGAGTCATGCTGAAATCGAACTCTAAAATAAATATATCACCTGTAAAATCACTACACACATCTTCAAGAATCATATGCAAATTTCAGGAAGTAACCAGATGACACCGATGGTACGTCACAATGACGAGAGTGTAAGAGAGTGATATATGAGGAAATACAGGTAAAGAAGTAAAATTGTTCGCAGGCTCTTTATAACGATTTCAGTGCAATAACCGAATAGTTATGACACAAAGGACGCATTTGGATGATTTTTTATGTGGTAGAATTATCGGCCGTCTAGAATGTGGGCGTACCCAACTGGAAGTATCAGACGAACTTGGAATTGCCCAGAGTGTCATCTCCAGGCTTTGCAACGATTCCAAGATGATTGTAATGTGAGTAGACGTTACAGCACAGGTCGCCCCAGAGTTACAACGACGAATGAGGACCGGTATTTGGCAGTTACTGCCAAAAGACACAGGCGGAACACAGCCTCAGACCGGTCTCACCAGCTCTCTTCAGCCACTGGTACGACAATTTCAAAGCAGACCGTGTACAGACGCTTAGGGCAGATTGGTCTATATGCTCGTAGACCTGTCAGATGCGTTCCACTTACTGCAACTCACTGTCGCCTGCGGTTAGCCTGGAATAGAGAGCATGCCTTGTGGACACCGCAACAGTGGGCTTCCGACGAGTCCAGGTTTAGTTTGCAGTCTGATTGTCGCCGGACTTTCATATGGAGAGCTCCAGGTACCCGTTACCACCAAAAAAACATCATTGAACGACACCGTGGCGCAGGAGTGCTCGTTTGGGGTGGAATTATTCTGGGTTCCAGAACTGACCTGCATGTTCAAATTGGAACCATGACAAGCCAAATCTATCGGGACGTCATTCTGGAACAACATGTACGTTTGTTTCGGGGCGCCATGGAGAAGTAATTTTCCATAATGAATGATGCCTTTTCTTTGAAAATATTACCGGTAAAGTGCAGAATCGCTCATTTATTTGTTTGCCGCTTTCTACAAGGGTAAAAACAATTGGATTTTTGTCAGTTTTCTTTTACTTTAAGTGAAAATAGGTCAATGTGTACATAGATAAAGTCAAGGGTGTGCGCTGTACCATTTTTGTGCATTCTAGGGATTTTTTGAAAAAAATTGAAAATAGATCGATGTGTACATGGATACCGAATATCTGCAATTCTTAAAACGCGTCAAGCAGTTTGGTGATTCTGCATTTTACCCAAAATTCTATTGCCGACTTTTGGTCATGGGCAGTTCCCAAATTGTTAAATCCATAGGATATCAAAAAATGGATTTAAAATCGAGAAAAGGATTTAAAAATTAAACTAGTATTTCAATGGCGTCTTAAGAAATATAGAACTATATAAACTTACGCAATCTGAAATCAGCGCGTACGCTAGATTTGGCGCTCTGTTGAATGGGCGCGTTTGCTAGATTTGACGCTTTTGCGCATACATTTTCGCTGCAATTTTTTTACGGCCCTCAAAACAGAATAGTACCGAAATTATTAGCAAATAAATAATGGGCGGGAGAGGAACTTATTTTTATTTCCTAGTTTAGAGTCTGATATAACATGGTACATTTAATTATAGCAAAGCACTCGAGGGCTATCTGCCCAAGGGAAAAGATACCTTCGTGGGGGATTTTCTGAAGGAAACTGGCTTATGTACACGTTAAACATGGAGTAAACCACGAAAACGCCCGTGCAGCTAGCCCGTTCGCTAGGATTTGAACCCCGGACCTATTAAGTTTCTGGAAAACATTTTTAAAACTAATACTCACTAACAGAATTGCATGTTCTGGAGCAACGGTTCCTAAGTAGGGGAACACGCGTTGCTAAGAAGGCAAGCTAGAATTTCAAGAATTGCGACAATGAATGACCTGTGTCTTATAATGACCAGTTAAAGATGATCAATCTAATTAAAAATTAGACTTTTGAGTTCTAAATAGGATATTTCAACCATAAGACGCGCGATTATTACTGAGACATTTCCTACAATTTGTTAGTTTAAGATAAGCATTTCAAGGTCATTTCAGCCCTTCCTCATTTGTGATCGTAACGCATGACGTCATCCTCCCACAGAAGAAATTAGGGGATTTTAGCATTCCGCAGCGGTCGTTGCCATTGTTATGAGGTATGGTTTGGAACAAAAGTGGCCTTAAAGTATCTATTCTAAAACACTAACAGAGTATAGAAGGGGAAAAGTAGAAAAGGGCTCAAAATTACTTTAAAAAAAAACTAAGTTCTGCTTGAGTTTTAAGCTAGCGATCGCAGGTTCTGGTCGATTAATTTGCTCTAATTCCAAAAGTGATAGGTTCAGGCAATTTCTGCTGAAGGATACGAATGATTCAGTTTCGAACCCTAAAGAGGTTATCACATATGGCTATAGTCTCTGCTAGACGGGACTTTTTTCCCCTGCTAATCTCGTTTCTCTGAGAAGTCCCTGCTAGACGGGACTTTTTTCCCGTGCTAATGTCGTTTCACAGAAAAGTCCCTGCTAGACGGGACGTTTTATCCCTGCTAATGTCGTTTCTGTTCCCTGCTATCTCGAAAAGTCCCTGCGGACTTTTTCCCTGCTAATGTCGTTTCTCAGAAAAGTCCCTACTAGACGGGACTTTTTCCCCCTGCTAATGTCGTTTCTCAGCAAAGTCCCTGCTAGACGGGACTTTCCTGATTCCCTGCTAGACGGGATTTTTTCCCCTGCTAATTTCGTTTCTCAGAAAAGTCCCTGCTAGACGGGACTTTCCTGAGAAACGAGATTCTGGTAGCACTATTTTAAATGAGAGGATTCATAGAAAAAAGATCCCCGCTGGAAGCGAAGTCCCGCCTAGCTACGGAAATAATGTTGCGGCTACGCGGGATTTTTTTCAAACCTCACCGAAAATGTCTCGGATCCCGGGTAGAAACAGCCAATCAGACGAAAGTTCTGCTTCTGAAGGATCACGTGATCCCAATTTGAGCGATAAACGATTACTGTTTGGCGTTCAAGTCTTTCTAATAAGTGAGAATGGTAACCTAGCTACGTGTGTTTTCCGGAATTGTGCGGGTTCTGAGAATTGTCCTTTTCGACGTCAAGTCCCGCGTAGCCGAAACATAATGTGATTGGGACCTTATGACTTATGATCATCGATTACAGGAGTGCAAGCTACATTTTTTGTTGTTGTTCTTGTTGGGAAATTAAAATTCATCCAGAGCTAGATTTAAATTTTTTTAATGATTGTGCTTAAGAATTAATATTTTAAAATATTGGCATTGCTGATTTTTTATCATCTTACTGAGATGCTATCATTGAACTTTTATTTATAACTAAAATTCGTTTTAGAAAACGTTTGATATGTCATTTAATGTGAGTACTCGCCTAAAATTTAATGACACTCGCCTAAAATCTGTTATAAGCGATTTGAATTACATTTTTATTTCTGATAATATAGCCCTGAGAATGAATGATTCAGTCTCATTTATTATTAGCTCAAAAAGGACGGTAGTCCCTAACGGGATATTAGTCTCGAAACGGCATTTTACATCGATACACTTTTAAACGCGTTGTTTCGCTTTTCAAATTCTTGCCAACGAATATTATCACCCTATATTATGTTTAAAGATATTAAATAATGAAGAATATGCATGAATGTATGTGTGTTTCTCGCACTGTAAAAAAACAACAGTACCTAGAGCCAGCAAATTTCGAATAACGTAGTCCTTCTCCCAAACATGGGCACATGGAAGCCCGAATTTCGAATTTGTTTTTCTATCCATTTCATATTTTGTAAAACTTTAATGAATTTTTTTTATTAACAAACTCAACGATTTCAAAGCGAGCAATGGTAACATTGTACGAAAAACAAATTTTTATCTCCAGCACGCGAGACTGTGCATGGGAAATTCTAAAGATATGCATCATTTTAGAATTATTTTGCGATATTGCAGTTGAACTAATTATCTGAATTTTATGGTTTAAGTTCGAAGAACATGACATTTAATAAATACAGGTAATGCATAAAACGTTAAAAAAAGTCCTTTTGGACGTAATGTAAAACCCGAAAGCTTTCAGACTTTTTTTCTTATTTCAAATTTAAATTAAAAAATTTGTTTCATGAGTATGTCCAACAAAAACTGTTAGAAAGTTTTTGGAATGAAGCGCTAATAAAATCCCATTTCTCTGCTTCTACCTTTTCTCTTTCATGCTGATAATATTTAATTCTTAAAACACTTTTTTTCATTAATTAACTTAAATCTTTATTTAATTTTGATCTTAGCATTAAATATTAATCAATGAGAAAGGTTAACTAATACTGCATCAACACTTCTCATGTGCTTGATAATGAGCAGGATTCTCATTAACGAATTTTTCATTAATAATGAAATACTGGTTAATAATGAGCAATGGCAACACTGTACGGAAGAACTTTTTATCACCAGTGCGCCAGTCTGTCTATCGTAAATTCTAAAGATATGCTGTTTTTAATATTTTGTGATTTTGTAGTTGAATCGAATTTTGTGGAGCGTAAGCGGCATAATAATAATAATAATTTTAATAAGGAATGTGATATTTAGTAAATAAAGTACACACACAAAAATTTTTTTAAAAATTTTGTAAAGCCATCATATTAAAAAACTGAACATTGATATGATAAACGGAGAAAAGACTGGAGAAGGGGGAAAAAAAAACCGCAAGAATATCTGCCAACACTTAACGCTGCATCTCGATTTCTAAACGTACACTGCCATGCTGCTTTTAAATTTTTTTTTAAATTTTTCTGTTGCATTGTATACGGAGTAAGGTCGATGAAAATGATGATTAATAATAAAGCTAAAAAGACAAAAAATGGGTTAGTAGGAGGGCGGGTAACAGCAAGCTTGGACCCTGTGAGCTCAGTAGGAGGGTAAAACATATGAACATATGAACACTGACAGGAACATATGAACAACATAATTCAATCACTTTTAAAGCAAAAAAATACACAATTTACGAACATATAAAAATAAAGAAACTGAGCTCGTCGAGCAGGGTAACAAAGTTGAAGTATATATATTTATATATGTCTGGTGAGGCTGATTGCAAGAAAAAAAGGAGGTGCATAATTACATGTTATAGCAGTCCCACATGCAAAATTTCACCGTTCTACGAGTACTCGTTTTTGAGTTATGCGAGATACATACATACGTACAGACATCAAAGAAAAAATTTCCTCCGAATCCATTTTAAAATACGTCTTGAAAAAAACCAGTCGTTTGTTCTGTCCGTACGTACAGATGTCACGCAAAAAAAAATCATTCAGATGGATTCGAGAGCGGTCAAAATGGATTTTTTTTCGTTGAAATATGTTACCCGAAATTTTTCGCAATTACAGTATTTCCTTTCCTTAGTAGAAGAAAGAAAAATCTGATGTGTACACCACATGACTTCCTTCTACGAAATATTAAATTATAAGCATTTTTCTTGCATTTCTTTAAACTTATTGGATTGAATTAAATCTACTTCGCCGACAGCGCATAAACGACAATAGAATAAACGCATTCTTTAAAATTCACTCTATTTGATTACAATAGCGACACTCTGGCTCTAGGTTCACTTAGCAGTATTATATTTCGTTCATATTATAACTCAGAATGCACAAAATTTATATCATTTAAGGAATTATCTAATCGTTGCCACATGTTCTATTCAAATACTAAAACTAAAACGATGTATAAAGAAATTAAGCAAACAAAACAAAAAGAAACAGTTTTTTCACAGACGATTCAGTATTTCTCATTCAATTAATACAGTTCTCACTCGCGACAAGGCAAAATGACCATAAACCCCAAAATATCTGTATTAAAAATTACGAAGTAAATCTTAAACACTTATTTCCTCGAAAAATTCCAGAAAGGATTAAGCATGATTAAATTCGCAATAATAAATGAATGCGTTATCTTTGTTGTTGCGAAGCTAAGTTTCTCTAGATTGGCAACAAATCCACTAGTCTCCTGTTTCAAATGTAAACATCAATGGCCGCCATTAAAAAGCAGCTTAGCGGCAATTAAACAACTTTAAATTGCTGATAATTCTAAATATGCACAACAGATTTACTAAAGGCATAAAATCCTTAACCGAAGATAAAAACAACATAATTCAATCATTTTTAAAGCAAAAAAATGTACAATTTACCAACATATAAGAGTAAAGAAACCTGAGAATCACTGAGCCGGGTAACAGAGTGGATATATATATATAATATATTTATATACGTTTGGGTTGCGGCCGATTGCAACCAAAATACGAGGTGCACATCTGCGTGTTATAGAAGTCCTATATACAAAATTTCAACGTTCTGAGGCTACTCGTTTTTGAGTTATGCGAGATACGTACGTACGCACGCACGTACATACATACGTTCGTACAGACGATACGAAAAATTCTCTTCAGAATTCGTTTTAAAGCAGTTTTATAATTTTTTTGGAGGAAAAGAGTCTTTTATTCTGCCCTTACGTACCGATATCACGCAAATACATGGTTAAATTGCATTCGGAAGTGGTGAAAATGGATATTTTCGTTGAAATATGCTGCCTGAACCTTTTTGGCGATTACAATACTTCCTTTTTACTTCTTAGAAGGAAGAAAAAAACGAACCAGTTCTACAGATATTTTTAAATATCTATGTAGATGAGCTGCAATCACAGCTAGTTATATTTGGAGTGCCAATATGCATTTAGAAATGTATTTATTATCTTGGAAATTCTCCAGAGATAGATAATAGATAACAGTATCAAACCTATGACCGAAACTTAAATAATCCCCCCGTAAAAAACTGTTGAGGGTGAAAATGCGGCTATTATTATTATTATTATTATTATTATTATTATTATTATTATTATTATTGCCGGAATATTTTTTTTTTATATTGTTCGAATCTTTTCTATAATGCTTAAGCTACCTCAATTCTTTTCTCCAAGGCGTGAAAATGGATATTAAAATTTCCGAATAACTTCCGAAGTCTTTTTGAAAAGAAATAAGAATGATATTTAATTTATATTTAAATCAAAAATGAAAATTAATGCAGAATTTACCTCAGATTTCAGAATACATCCAACGGGCTTTAAAAAGACGCTCTGAAGAGGGGTGATCTTTTTAAATAGAATTCTTCGAAAAATACTTAAAATGAAGAAAAATTCTTTTTCGCCGAATAAAACGCAAGGGAGTTCTTTTTATTTAACTCACGTACTAAAAAATTCTCAAGAACTGTTCAAATTAATGATGAATAATACCAGTTCTCAAACAATTCTGATGCGATGAATAAAAACGGTAACCGAAGGTTTTCAAAAACTACCGTTTTAAATGTAATTAATGTATTGTTTTGTTTCTGTGGTTTAAATTATTTTTAATGAAAGGAAAATATCATGTTAAAATATTAATAATTATCACGTAATTTTTAACGCTATTTTACTTTTAAATTCATGATTAGCATTGTCGTGAGTCGCGAACCATTTGGTGAATATTCTAATCTATTAGATATCTAATTAGATATCTAATTAATTATAACATATTTTCAACCTCCTTTCTGCATGCCTTCGTGGTGTAGCGGTTGCACACTCGGCGCGTTATTCGAGAGGTTCAGGTTCGAACCCCGGCAAGGGCATTGCTCGTGTTCAGGTCTCCTGCTTCAAAATAACTCTGCAAGATATTCTCTATATATATAGATATAAATGGATTAGATTATTCGGGCGGGCAATCTGGGATTTTAGCCCGGTATCCTACTTTACAATTATCCCGAAAAATATCCCGGATTATATGAAAATTTCCGGAATTTTGTAAAAAGTCGATGCAAATTCTGTTAGCATCGTAGACACTTTTGTGTAATCCTAAATATGTTCAGAAATCAAATAATCTTGCTTTGTAGATACACTTATTAGGTATTCTAGAAAATCGCGAGTAATTGAAAAGACTAGTTTGTGAGAGAATTTTTAAATTTCTATTTCAGTTGCGTTTCTTATCTGCGAAAACGGAGAATGAAATTTAAACATCAACAGAATCTTAAAATGAATCGCCAATGGAAAATACTATAGAAATAAAGTGGAGGAAAGTTTAATTTTTGCAAGAAAATATTGGAATATGTGTGTTACCTTTTGACCGGCCTTTATAATATAAAGAAATATATTTATTTCCACGTTTGCCTTTCTTTGCACAGATTTTTTTTAAACTCTCCGTAAAACAAATTTAGCTCCTTGTTTATTGTGTGACGAAATTCAGTTTGTAATTTATTAGTCCAAAGGGGCTTTGTCCCTGAGGGACTATTGTTTTCAGTTTGCGATTTTGCGTCGAGTCACTCTGAATGTCCGCTTCACTTTTCAAACTGTTGCCACCAAATATTAGAGCCCTCTATTATATTTGAAGAAACTAAATAATGAAGAATCTGCATAAATGTATGCATTTTTCTCTCATTGTGATAAAACAACGGTACCTAGAGCCACGCAATTTTGAATGACGTAATCCTACTGCGAATATGGGCATCTGGAAGCCGAAATTTGGGGGAAAGTGCACAATCGCACACTGCTTGGCGCGTTTTTAAGAATTGCACATACTCGGTATCCATGTACACATCGACCTATTTTCATCTAAAAAAAATCCCAAAATTGCACAAAAATGGCATTGCGCACTCTCTTGACTTTATCCCTGTACAAATTGACCTATTTTCACTTAAAAAGTCAAAGAAAATTGACAAAAATCCAATTCTTATTACTCTTGTAAAAAAGAACCAAACAAAAGCCAATGAAATAAGTGGACAATTCTGCACTTTAACTCAAATTTGATTTTTGGAATTTGTTTTACTATCCATTTCATATTTTGTAAAATTTTAACGAATTTTTTATTAAAAAATTCAAGGATTTCAAAGCGAGCCATGGCAACGTTGTACAGAAAAAGCATATTTATCTCCAGCGCGCGAGACTGTGTATCGGCAATTCTAGAGATATGCTCAATTTAAAATTATTTTGCGATATTGTCTTGAACTGAATTTTATGGTTTAAGTGCGAAGAACATGATATTTAATAAATAAAGGTAACATACAAAATTTAAACAAACACCCCTATGGACGTAATTTAAAATCTGAAACCTTTCAGATTTCCTTTTCTTTTTCTAAAATTGAAAATGTAAGCAAGCATAGATGAAACACACCACAAAAAGTATCGTATACAGAAACATTTTCCTAACATTACGCCAATAAAATTCTTGCCTACTTTTTTTTTTTTTTTTTTTTTTTTTTTTTCAATTTTTGAATTTTGGTGACGTTTAAAAATTTTTCATTTTAAATTTTAATTTTTATAATAATTAATGCAATATTTTACTAAACCTCGTAGGTGTATGAATACGTTTCTGAGTTACTGTATCGCCGAACGCAGAACGCGCTGCAGAATTCTTTATAAGAAACATTTATCCGGGCAAAAACGGAAAATTTTGTCACAGTAGAGGAATCTTGGGTGTATTGAAATGACTGCCATAAAAAGAAATCCGTTTATTATTACCAAAGAGGTGAAAAAAATCTTAAAACATGGTTTAAAGAACCGAAAGAAAGTTTTCCAAAGGGATTTATGATTCTTGTCGGTTTTTCACATAACGGAAAATTAAAAATAAACAGAATGAAGGAAAATGTTAAGAGCAATTCCACATATTGTCAGGAACATATTTTATACCCAATTTTCAAATACGAAATACTCGTACCTTCTCTTTACCCACAGTGCCATCAATCAGTAAAACTGCATCAAAACAAAGCAAGCGGCTTTAAATCAAAATCGACTGTTAATTTCCTGGAAAAAATTAACAGGGAAAGGGGTATTCAAAGCCATACCTTTCACTCATATCCCTAATAAATCTCCTTATAGATTTTTGGGCTTTTGGATTTTTAAAAAGAGGAATTGTGCAAACGTTGGTATAACAACCCTTCATGGAAAGCTGTTCAAGAGAAATGGTATAAAATCCTCTTTCGATATTGCTTTATTGTCTTGGATATTAAGATGTAGAAAGGTAATGAAGAATAAGAGTTATCAAATAGAAGATTTAAAACACAAAAACTTTAGGTAAAGTATTTCTGTAAATACACTAAAAATTATGCAAACAGCCTCTGTGTATAATTCTTTCTGTTTTTCTGATTATTATGATTTAAAAGAAATGATAAATACATATTTGTCGTTTCTTTTTACAGACTGTAAATATGGAAACTGCTACTGGGAGAAAACATCTGAAAGCTTTCCGATTTTAAATTACGCCCAAACGGGCGTTTTTTTAACATTTTGTGTTTACCTTTATTTATTAAATATCATGTTCTTCCCTCTTAAACCATAAAATTTAATTCAACACCAATCAACATCATTTTAAATTCAATCAATTCAATTAAACATCATTTTTAAATGAGCCTATCTTTAGAATTTCCGATACATAGTCTCGTGCGCTCGAGATAAAAATGATTTTTCTGTACAACGTTGCCATTTCTCGCTTTGAAATCCTTGAATTTGTTAATCAAAAATTCCTTAAAGTTCTATAAAATATAAAATCGATAATAAAACAAATTCCGAATTCCTAATTAGGGCTTCCAGATATCCATATTCAGGTAGACACGAACGTTATTTAAAACTGGATGCCTCTAGGTACCGTTGTTTTATCAGAATGCGAGATACATACATAAGTTTATGCAGATTCTTCATTATTTAATTTTTTAATATAACACAGGGCGATAATATTTGTTGGTAACAATTTTAAAATTGAATCAATGTTTATAGTGAATCAACGCAAAATGTCAAAACGAAATTAACAGTCCTTCAGGGCAAATTGTCCCTTTGCACTAAAAAATGGAAAAATAAAAAATGTTGCAGAGATTCTCGGATAGCAGAAACACCAGATTGTGAACTAGATCTCTTTTTTTATGCATATGAAAAAAAAAAAAA